GCTCAAACATACCACCGCCACCCCAACCAATCCCTAATACAAACCCCCCCCACAACCAATCTCCAAACACAACCCCCCCGCCAGACAAAGCCTTACATAATACTACAACTCTCCAGAACCAAATCAAACATACCCAACCTCTGTGACAGCCACTCTCAACGAAATCGACCTAACTCAAGACTGAAACCAATCAACCTATATCTCATTCTCATCTCCGTTCACAATTTAACAAAAGCTCAAATCTGTCTCCTGCTATTACTAAAAACTCTCCTACGATACGCTCATCCTTCCTTAGTACGAATACTTTGACATTTCAAGCTCAAAGATTCAAAACTCTTCCTCCAACTCGCTCCGTCCCTCTTTGACATAGCTCAAAGACTTTACCTTCATCTTTCTCCAAAAAACCCTACGACTAGCTACATTTCCATTTTTTCACCTTCTTTGTTACTTTGATCGTGTGTTGCCTGTGCGTCCGTCCACCTGCGCTTCTCGGCTTGCGCCGCCGCCGTGGCGGGGCGGTTCTTCCTCCGCTTTGCCAACACTGCCTAAGCTAAGACGACAACCAGAGCACCCGCGTTGGCCCTTTGCTTGCCCGGTCCTGCTCCCGCCCTCCCTCTGCCTCGTCCTGATTGTGATTGTTACACCTACCGGGCACATTGCCTACCCCCTCACGCAAGCGGTGTTTAGCCACTGCACCTGTTCTCTCCTTCTAAAATTCACTTCTATCCTCCCTTTATCCTTCCCCTGAACCTCTTTCCCCCCTGTCACTGGCTTTTATGTATGTATGTTCACCTAGCAGTAAAGTAGGTACCTGTTGTAAATCGAAAGGTTGCGAATTCGTATTCAGGGAAAGTTGTTGGAGCTTCTAAACTTGAACTAACACAATCCGGAGGAGTGGTGACCCGAGGATCACACACCTAACACAGACAAAACCCAATACGTGCGCTATGCGCTAACCAAATAAACGCAGTCGTGTAAAGCCACGGCACTATCTCTCCCACTACAATTCCCTTCCTAAACTCCTGCTCCTTCCTCTGTCCTCTTCCCCGCTCTGCCTTTCGCTACCAACAAGTTTTTTGGAGCTTCTAAACTTGAACTAACCAGGGAGACCATTCTACTCTGACCTACAGGACCAGCAAGATCTCTCCAGCACCTCACCACCCAGGTTCCTCAGAGAGCTCCTTGCCCTACAGGAACTCTGAGCAAGCTACAACTCACCAAGTAACTCCTTAGCACTACTCTGTACAACATATATATATATATATATATATATATATATATATATATATATATATATATATATATATATATACAGAAAACGCATCGTGAGTTTCTATTCTACCTCATACCTGAGTGTGAGATATCTACATGTACGTACGTTGTGTGGCCATACAAAGAGACAATAGACATCTAAAGATAATTGACTACTGGCCACAATACAGTACGCTACAACTCAACCGAGTGACAAAATAATGAACATAAAAGTAAAAACTAAACACTTATTTAGCTTAGCAATTACATGAAAAACGTGGTATATCCACCGCACGAAACCTCATAAATAAGAAAAGTTATTTTCCGTAGAACTCTAAAAATATGATTAACAACAATCTTTCACAAATAATACTCGGTGTTCTAAAAGTCGAGCAAGGTTTACACGTTATACCACTAGAAATATACTGTACAATAAGAAAAGAGATACTTAACTTATCACTGCCGGGCCAATACTAGCGTCATGTGGTTGGGAAGTAAACAAAGCGAGCAGAAATGACATCACACACAAAAGACGTTCACGTTGCGAATCCACAACCAACCATGGAACGCTCACTCGTAACACCTCAAACTCACAGTTCTGCTCATCTGAGCGTTTGTTAGTGACCAATAAATCGGTCAGCTCAGCTGGCATACTTTCGACGATTCATTTTGGAGCGAGGTGATCAAATAAATCCATTTGCCAGCCATTATTGGTAACATCAGGGATATATGGCTGTGCATGGGTGGCATTTTCCATATAAAAACTTGATAGTTTGCCCTCAGAATGTGTTGCTGTAATGATGCTTGACAAGAGGGGAATAAACTGACATCCACACCAGTTGAACTGCTGATGAGGGAACCAAGGGGAGACGAGGACTGCACATTTTTTTTTATATTTATAGTACCTTTGTTGATCAGGTGGTCATTCTGATATCCATAAATTTTGTTAGTAAAATCCCCCAATTCATTTAATACTTTATCAGTTAGATCTGTACGTTCACCCTTTATCTGAAAACATTCCATGAAGTTTGGATGTTTCTCCAGGTAGGTCCATGGATGAACTTTATCTCTACGGGCAAAGGCACTCACACTATCGCAGCCCGTGAATGCATGGCGGCCGACCAGAGATAGGCTTAATTCTCTCCCAGTTTTAATGACAATGCTCTTTACATCTATGATCTATCATTACCCGTTTATCAACTGCTCCAGAATCCATCATGACTTGGGTTTTGAGATTGTTTGCAGCGTAATGATGGACCAGCAGACATAACACATATGTTATGTGGTGTAATTGGTTTGAGAGGCTATGTTAATCCGCTCCACCACCTTTGAGAGTGCTAACAAGTGGAATCATATTGCCTAGGTCATACCAAATTAGAAATATAACTTAGCAAAAAAGATAAGGGGGGGGGGGTCTATGCCCGCTGGACTATGAGGCTTGGTTTGGTTGTGGTTTGCTAGAGTAAAAATGTTTCAATTGTTTAAAGTTGTTTGAAATTGCGCGTTCACACTTGCTATATAAGACGTGTTACTAACAATGCTATGTAACATGTTAGAGTGTATTTAGTAAAATTTAATGTTATATAACAAAAAAAATCAAGGTTTATAGCATGTTAGATATTATCCTTTTGAAGTCGGGAAGATCAAAGGATGTTACGTAACTTGTTATATAACATGTTATAATTGCGTCCAAACACAGGTTCTTCATAACCTTTTGTTTATCCTTTCGGTGTAAATGAAGGGGGGGGGGGGCAAAGGTGTTTTATTTCACTATCTGTTAATATGTGTAAGAGGTGAGAGGTTTTTCTTATATAATTATTATTAATTTCCATTTCTTTTATGGTACTATAACTTATATATCTTTCTTTAATTCTCTTCGTTATGTTTTCCAAGTTAGTTTCTTTGTATTTCTTTCAATGTTTTTATTTATTTATGTATTTCAATATTCCTTATCTTTCTTTTCTATATTTATTAATTCTTTCAATGTATTTATTTATTTTCCATGTTCTTATTGTTTTCTCAGTGCTTTTGTTTGTGTATTTTCTCTTACTTCTATTCTCAACTGACTAAAGCTGCCAACAATGTTTGCAAAAGATAAATAGAAAGGATGTCTACACCAACTCAAGTATTAGAAACATTGTGTAACAGTTTGGACCAACACTGTTCCTAATTATAATGTAGCCATCATTTTCGTGAATTCGTCACAACATTGCTGATAACAATATAGCCACACATGTTACCGACAATGTTTGCATTGGCTCCACAGCAACGCAACAATATTGGTAACATTGTTGGTAACTTTGTGGAATAATTGTTACACAATCTACACCAGCTGCTCCCAACAATGTTAGGTTGGTATGGCCCTGTCCTATGAGCGGTTATGTAGTTTTAGTGTGTGGACGTTAGTGGCGGTACTCCAGCAATGTAGCTGCAAGTGAAACAGCAAGGTTTGTCCTACCAGAGTAGTGTAGAGGGAGTTTTACAGCAGTATTTTTCTCAGCATCGTTGATATCTAGTGGACGAGTGTGCTGTAGTTGAGGTGCCTGTCCTGGTGAGCGGTGTTCTTACTTGAGTGTATCCCAGGTTGAGAACCCCTGTTACTAGAAGATCAACTATTGTAGACACTGGCGCTAACTCCCATGTGCATCAGTGGTTAGTAGTTCTCTAAGAGGGAAGTTTAATTCATCAGTCAGAAAATTACTAAATGTAGAGTTACATGTGTGTATGTTTATGTTTAACAGCGTCATTGAGAGCTGTCGAATCAGAGAATCACTGCACATCTTGTGACAATACAAGAAAGCTCATGCTGTTTCCAAGAGTTTCAGTTCCCCCAAACCAGCAGGAAATGTTTTCATACTCGTACAGCAGTAGATACACAGGGAGGCTTGTAGGGTAGTTTCTCTACTCTCGGTGCACATAATTACATCCCACTGGGACGAACGTCTGTTTATGCCATTTAACTTAACCTGATCTAATCGCTAAGTGAGCCGAAAAAAAACCGCATAAAGTTATGATCGCTCTTAAGGGAATCGTCTAAGTGGGATGACTGCACATACTACAGTTAATTATGGCTTTTGTTTATGTTTGTAGATATTTCATTAAGTTCACAATACAAGCTATAGATAGTCTTAAGAATGCTTGACACATGTGTTCCCACTTTGTAACGTTCTGGTGTATTTTGCATCAATAATTTTAATATCTTGTATATGAGGAAGTGTGCGACTATTTTTTTATTCTATATTGTCTCTGAAATTAAAACCAAAGTGAACTTGACATAATTGTTTATATCTTTAATTTTTCATTGTTGATGAACTAGTGTAATTATTAACCTGTATTACAATTCTGTATTTAGCAGAGCAAGGCATGTTGAGTGATAAAACTATATGGTATTGTATTTACTATGATCACACATGTCTAGTATAAAAACTGTTCCAAACATCTCCCCGTTTTCGATCATTTTGAACTCCAGATACTTGATCAAGTATTCTAGAAGGAAAGACACCACACTATAGCAATGCGAGGAAGACTACACCTGCGACTCTACAGTTTTGCCACAACTTTTTCCTGACCTTTGTTACACCGTAATAGTGGTCCTGTTGTGACCCTGGTTTTGATTTGTGTTGCAGCATCAAGTGTTGTATTTTGTCGCCACAAGATTTAGTCGGATCTCAGTAATAGTCAGGCATATTATATGCAGTATCATGGGAGGCTCATGCACATATTTATCGAGGACAGATAAATGAAAGGCCTTTATATTTGTACATTTAATATTCTATATGTTCACGAATTTTATCACTCTATAATTCACATGAATATAGATTTGACTTTTATTGCAGGTTAAACTGAATAAATACTGACATGTGTGGGCGTGTACTGCCCCTGGCGTCGCGGCGCAGGCGGTGCAGTGTAGCGGTCCCGGTGGGCCCGGGCGGTCCACCAGGCCGCGGGTCCGCCGGGAGCGCACGGCTGCGATGGCCGCACCGCGCCACGACTTTCACCACAAGCCACAGCGACACAAACAACACGCGATTGTCGACGGCCCCACGCGCCACCCAATTGTTCCAGGAACAACTGAGCCCCGGGTAGCGCGTGGGGGGGGTTGGCCCGGCCCGCGCCGCGCCCGGCTCTCTACCAGCCAGACGATGCTGGAGTGCGCGGTGCGGGCCACAAGGGCCAGGCTGGGCCACCACTAGTGCGGCCCGGGCCAGGAGGCGCGGCCCGCAGGTGCGTGTGGGCGGGACGGCCGCCTGGCAGATATGCGGTGGACCCTGGCTGGATATGACGAGTGCGGCCTCAGCACCAGCACCAGCAGCACTGCTCGCTCGTCCTCCCGTCACCAGGCGCCTGGCGCACCTCTCACCGCTGCTGGCATTCTCACCTCTCACCGCTGCTGCTGGCACAACACTCTCACACTCACACCACACTCTCACCTCGCTCCGAACAGAGAATCGTGCTCAGCTGTAGCACAAGACCTGCGGTGGCTAACATTACGGCAGCTAGGTTGGACACGCTCCACCTGGCCATACATTCCCACACCACACTTACACATACACGCAGGCAGAGGCACGCGGCCCCTACCTCATTTACTCATCATATCCTCACTCCTTGCCTTGGTCAGCGGCTGCAAACATGAGTCACCATTCTCCAAGAGATGCAAAAGCCCACCTTGAGTGGTGAGACACTTGGTGACTATCTACCAAGTCTTGGTGAGACTTGGTTAGTCTCTACGTCCGCATGTTGCCTAAACTTGATGGGCTGAACCACTGAACATCTATCATTCATACTGATACATGGATGAGCCACACATCCACAGGTGACGCTCATCATGACAAACACTCCACAACTACCCGACCGTCTGTGTGTCGTACAACACACACACACCACACAGTATACGATACAACATACAACGTGGAAGAACTACAGCAACACCGCGCCCAGACACGGCGAAGCGCGGAGGAGGTGGCAACACTGTAGAGGGACCACTGGGGAGGAAGTGGCAACACTGTAGAGGGATCACTGGGGAAATGGCAACATCGTAAAGGGACCACTGGGAAGGTGGCAACACTTCAAAGGAACCACTAGGGAGGAGGCAGAACTGTAGAAGGACCACTTGGGGGTGTCAACACTGTTTAGGGACCACTGGAAAGTGGCAACACTGCGGAGGGACCATGGGGAGTGGTAACACTGTTGATGGACCACTAGAAAGTGGTAACACTGTAGAGGGACCATCGGGAAGTGGGAACACTGTTGAGGAACCACTGGAAAAAAAAGGCGGCAACACTGGGAGGGGAGTAGTAACACTAGGAACCACTTAGAGATCAAGTGTTAACACCGTTGAGGATCCATTCGGGAAATTGGTAACACCGTAGAGGGAGCACATGGAGAAGAGTGGCACAGTGGAAGGGCCACTCTGGCAACAGTGAAGGTCCGTCCTGGAAGGAAACATCGATCATATCTACATAAAAGGAAGGGCAGGAATAGGGGACACGCAATATGGATTGGCTGGAGTAGTATGGAACACCTAGTGGGGAACACGGGGCGGGAACACCTAATGGAGTGGCAAATATGTAAGAGGGAGCCTGGCGGCGAGGGAACACATATAAGGAACCAGTGAGGAGGCTCCACACGAGAATGATAAGTGGACCAAGGAAATCATCCCTGGGGAAACACAGCACTTTACCATTGGGGAGAAAAACACGATACGAAAACATTTTTTGGAGAAAACACGATGGGTAACCGTATTTGGATGGGGGAACCCCTCAAAAAGGCTCCACTGGCCACGGAAAACACCTAATCTGAGCCAGCGGGTGCGGGGAACACATTAAGGAAAAGTGAGCACTCGCTAGGCATGAGGGAATATGTGCACAAGGATCATTAAACACCCCGAGGGCACCATTATCATAGCGAACCCCACGAGGCTTCGCTATGATAAACCGCACAAAGGATCCCTGCAGTGATCGGTCAAAAAAGACCCCTGGGATACCACCTCGCACAACACCCTAACGGTAAGCCTCACAAGGGACCCCTTCCATAAAATTGACAAGAGATCTCTACTACGAAGACAGTAAGAGAACACTGCTGTAAGGGTTGTAAGGGATCCCTTATATAATGAATACAAGGTTCCCCCACTGAAACGTGGTGTTCAGGTCTTCCGTTGGAGGTTAAAAAGAAACCTCTCAATAAGATCATAAGAGGTCCAAGTTAAAGCTTACAAAGGATCCTTAATTAAAAGTTTCAGAGGATCCTACGTATAAAGCTCACCAGAGAGACATGCCGAGTGAGGCATTATAGAAACAAGTAAAGGAAACCTCGGTGACCATCGGGGGACTTGAACTAAGGCAAGAACAAATGTTTGGCAGTGAAGATGAACTACTAAAGGTGATCACTTCACCAAAGGGACACGGAGTACTCGGCAAGAGAGGGAGTACTGTACTAAGTAGAGAGAGGATGTACTGCACTCAACAGGAGAGAGAAAGGACTGTACTCAGCGAGAGAGGAAGTACTGTACTCAGCAGGAGAGAGGGAGTACTGTAGTCGGCAAGGGAAAGACTTCAACGCGGTGAAGGGGGTTAGGGAGCTCTTTCAGTAAGAGGCAAAACCTTTGGAAGAGGGAGGAAGTAAAGTGGTGTTGTTGAGTAGGTTTTCAGCAGCGGTGAGGGAATCAAATTTTAGATAAAAGCTAGTGTGGGATTGCCTTTAGAAATAAGCTGCTGTATAGGGGAATCAAATCTTAAGAGAACAGCTGATCTTGATAAGTAGTTCGGTCTTCAAGTTAGGTTGGGAGACTTGACATATACAAGACACACTACTTATTACGTTAACTCTTAATTAGCATAGATGGTGGTAGCTAACATTAATAGTATAAGGGAGTGAACCCTTAGTTAAAACATGATTTAGGGGGATTTAACCCTTAGTTAACATATATAGTTTAAGGAGCGTTACCTCTTAGTTAATATAGACGGAGGAGGGAGAGGTATACTGTTAGAAAACACGTAAGGGATCGTCTTCAGAAAATAGGTGGTATAATCAACCATTGAAGGTTATCTGCAGTATTATCTGTTACTGTACTTCACGTGAGTCAACCTAGAGTAACAAGCTCACCTAAAGAAGAATGATTTTAGGGAACAGCCGGTATAGTGAGTCGGCGTTTAGAGAACAGCTGGTATTGTGAGTCGGCGTTTAGAGAACAGCCGGTATATTAAGTCGACCTTTAGAGAAAAACTGTTATAGTGAGTCGACCTTGAGAGAACAACTGTTATAGTGAGTCGACCTTCAGAGAACAACTGGTATAGTGAGTCGACTTTTAGAGAACAGATGGTATATATTGTGTACCTTTAAGAAATTCCAGGTATACTGACTCGATTTTCAAATAACACCTGGCGATGTAATGTTGACGTCACAATATTGCTTAAAAAAAAATCTTGAAAAAAAAACAGCAAAATGAGTCGACAGTTAACAGATATCTTGATACGTCGACCTTGACACAACACTGCGCCAAACCTCTGGAGAAGGCGGCTGGGACAAGACAAACGCCAGAGTACATCAACTACATAAATTCTTATATGGAACGTCAGCCGACAAATAAGTACCTTTATAATGAGTGCTACTGAGGGGGAAACCAAAGGTGACACGGGGAGCCAACAACACAATGTAACCAACGGTGTAGGCAACATGATAATGGAGGTGCCTAACTCCCTCACCCAACATCACGAGCAGGTGATACAGATGGCACGGGACACCTGACTGTAAATTATGTTTATCTTTGAAAGTGGAGACGAAGAGATAAGAAAACAGGTGCTTGTCCTCAGTATAAAGACCGGATTACACTTACAAAACGTCACAAGTGAGATCTATGCATCTTGCGAGGGTCTGAAGGATGGTCTTATAAGTCAATTATTATGGTAGGTAAGCTCAAAGGCGGAAATGCTACAGCGGCCCGCCCGGAAACCCACATAGCTGTGTGTTGACGAGTATGCCACCATGTTGACTCCTGGTCGTAGCACACTACACCCATCTCCTAAGTTTATGAGACAAGGAGCCGTCGTCTACACTACCATGACACACTGAAGGTGATGCAAACCAAGTGAAGCACCACACTCACCTCACCAAAAGACAGGGACATCATTTTGGTACACTGATGGTCATACTGAAGCCTAGTGAGGCCCCGTACTACAGGGTGGTCATATGACAACGTCGGCTAACGAATAACCCATTTAAGTGATGGGGTTAAGCAATAATAAGTGAGTTTAGAGGGATGAGCAGTAACGTCATAAGGGCGGCCAGGAATATAACACTATCTGGGAGGAGCAGCGTTAGGCTCACAATCACCCACCTTTGGCCAGGAGTATGAATAAAAGGATAATTGGGTGAATCAGGTGAGGAATGGATGAGTAGGCTGGGCATAGTGTGAAGGATGTCGAAATGGGTGAAAGAGAAAGAGGACTAGTAGCATGGTGGATGAATAGGCGGATGACGTGTAAGAGGGCAAAGAGAAGAATGGAGGACGAGGAAGTTGAGGTTAAGTGAGGCCAAGACGACGACTATTGGGTGCTCAGAGGATAATAGATGCTCTGTGAATGGCCACATAAACAACCTTACTCAAACAGGCCCTGCAGGGGTGATGAGCTGGACGAAGGGAGGAGGAAGTAGGAGTGAGGCGATGGCTGTTGGAGGTGTGGCTGTCGAGAGATAGCCTGCACTGTCAATAATCTCAAGTTTTCAACATGGCCGCCCATTCACCTGCCCATCACCTGAACACCTGGCTGCCCACTCACTAGGCCACCCACTCACCTAACCACCCAGCTTATCTGGTTCAGTTGTGGGCTGATGCAGTAAGAGCCAATGTGAATTACTCGTAACTGAATTAGTACAACCTATTGCCGCCTGGGTCAGATAGGGCACATGCATGTGGGACAAGACATGGGGTAAGCATCTATATAAAGGAGGAGGGGGAGGGGGGAGAAGGCACCTGCATGTTCCGCGGCCTCAGGCAAAATGACGACAACTCTAGCTTAACACACTACGGTCAACCAAATAAATTTGCTTGACAAGTAAGTTATCCTTGTAAGACCAAGAATATAGCCATTACACGCTGACTTTATCTGATGACTGGCTGACTGAGAGAATCCACATCACAATGCTACAGAGGGAGAGGCCTCAGAAAGAGAAAATTTCAACGATTCTCCCACAACTCCCGCACACTCATCACCTTGGTGCTTTTCTCTTACACTCACTCGCTTTGTACCAATTTCTGACCTGTAAAGAAAAGACTGACTCGTCCTCAGTAGGTGGTCATGTCTGGGGTATATGACTGAAGACGCATGCCAGAAACCAGATCCTTCCTTCTCTTGGAGTGATGTTCTTATATGGAGGTTGTGTGGCCTCGGCGAGAGAAGGTGGCATAATTGAATGGCACTCAACAAGAACCATCACACAACTGAAACAGGAATGATGAAGACGCCCGTCACCGGACCTCAGCCCGGCCCGGCCAGCATATACTGTACTGACGCCACCTTTACATGTAAACAAACAACATGGAGAGAGAGAGCGGGGATAAAGAGCGTTAAGGGAGCGAATCTCATCAATATGCTTACATAAAATTTATCAGCTAATGGAAACATATGGCACAATATCATTCTGGTATGATATACTATTTAAATTAATACATATCAAAATACTGCATCTTTTTGTGAATTCAATAAAACTTGTTAATAAATCTATGGAACAAGCATTGAGGTATAATAGATCTTTTATAGTAAACATATAACAATAAAAATATACATTTACATCTCCTATGTACACTAATAACCCAACAGGAATATACACAACTACTGTGCACTAGACTTTGGATCAAGGACACCACACAGGAGCCATCTGCCACACTTTAAAGCTTCGGTTTTGATTATACAGCCAGAGACGGGTAATCTAACTCGGGGCCTGCCCTGCCTTACCTTACCTTGTCCATAACCATCTCACTGTCCTAAGTTACCTCCTGTGTGTCTCACCCTCACCTTTCCTGTTTTCTCTGTTAAGCGTATCCCACGCCCTACGCTCACCTCACCTCCCCAGCCTGAATGTTCTTGCCCTACACCTTTGCAGGATTGTTTATAGTGGGCAGCACTGAGGGTAATCACAGGCACATGACAGCACCCTCTCTCTCACTCACTGGCTGTCTTTTCATATCAGCATATACTTCTCCAGTGTTCTTAAATACTTGTACCTTGATGTTTTCCGTTTCATGTAATCCAATTTTTACTCCAAATATTTTGACAATAATAAGAGATCAGGTACGGGTCACAGGTGTTTTAAACCGTTGGCATGTGAACTTAAATGATGTTAACTGTACCAATTCAAATAATCTGTCATGCTAACCCGAAGAAAATCATGTCGATCTGTATAGTCATGAACATTGAGTGATTTACAGGTGAGATAAAGTGCGGAGGTGACATGAATGTAGGACAGATAGCGGGATATTCACCTCCTGGGGGCACCACTGTTTCATTAAACTCCCATTTCTGCTACACAACTCGCCTAGCCCTATATGCTGTAAGTGAGGTGGTATTCTGTGTTTACTCGTGTATGTCCACAGCAAGAGCCATACCATCAAAATCTAACTTTCCTTAGTTAACTCCTAGCAACCAGATATACCACATGACACAGGGTGGAAGAGAGTTGTGGGCGGCAGGACAACCAAAGAAAGTAAGATTCTAATAATGTAGGGTCGTCCACAGGTCCCTTCTACCTACTGTACGTGTTGACACTCCTCACCTGCCTAACAGTAGGACAGATTTCCCGGTCTGAACCGCCCACGACCGTCAAAGACCTGAGGCGCCCAGAACCGCGATGACTGTCGAGCAACGGGTCAGTAAGTAGTAACAGTGAGTGTTAAGTGACAACTGTGTTAAGTGACAGTTGTATGGTAAGTGACAATTTAGCGTTAGGCAACACTTTTCTAAGCTAAAGTGATAGCAGTGTGTTAAGTGAAAATTTAGTATTAAGTGACACGTTTGTGTTAAGCGACAGTTTTGCGTTAAGTTACAGCTGTGTGTTAACTGACGTTTTAATGTTAAATAACAGCCGTGTGTTAAGTGACACCGTTGTGTTAAGTGGCACATTTGTATTAAGTGACAGCTGTGTTAAATGACACCTGTATTAAAGGGCAGCTGTGTTAAGTGACAGCTGAATGACAAGTAGAAGGCATCACAGGGCATCACCGGGAAGGCACCCGTCTAGTGGCTGGGTGGCGATTGACTGACTGACGGCTGTGTTGAGTGTGTGAGGAGGTGTGTGTGTGTTGAGATAAGTGTGTGAAGGAGTATGTGAGGGAAAGTGTGTGGGTGTAAGGGAGATTGTGAGGGAGAGTGTGAGGAAGTGTGTGTTTGTGTAAGGGGGAGTGTGAGGGAGTGTGTGTGTGTGTGTGTGTGTGTGTGTGTGTGTGTGTGTGTGTGTGTGTGTGTGTGTGTGCGTGTGTGTGTGTGTGTGTGTGTGTGTGTGAGGGAGAGTGTGAGGTAGAGCGTGAAGAAGTGTGTGTGTGTGAGGGAGTACTATGACATACCTGGAGTTGCCTGTCTTCATGCACATCATACAGTGAAGGACACATTATAGGTACAAAAATGACTGATGGTCTTGAGAGAGCGTCACAGTCTGCACCTACAGAAAAGCGGAGGGCCCTCCTGGAGGTGCTGGGGCCCCTGCTGCTTGGTGATGGTGTTATGGGGCCCCTGCAAGTGAGTGGTGGTGTCGTTAGTCCCTTATAGCAGTGTGTGGTGGGCCCTTGGTGACGGTGGTGGTGGTGTGATGGGCCCCCAGCGGTGGTTGTGTGGTGGGCCCTCGGTGGTAATGATGATGGTGTGGTGGGGCCCCTGGTGGCGGTGTAAGTGGTGTGGAGGGGCCCCTGGTGGCGGTGGTGGGCCCCCGGTGACGGTGTCTGGGGTAGAGGCAGGTAGGCGTGGGTGGGTCTCGGTCACCACGAGCCATAAGCTGGCTGGTCACCATGATATGCGGTAACACTCGACGGCACTAAGAACAATACCAACATCGAGAAGACAACAGGAGGAGATGTTTGGCAACGTTGACGAGACTGAAACACTCGAACACTCAGATCCCATGTGACTGACCACACAGTATACAAACAGGGCAGAAGATACGTTGTTTGTGCTTTGGAGTGCATCGTCTTCAGGGAGAAAACTATTATATATATATAAATATATATATATATATATATATATATATATATATATATATATATATATATATATATATATATATATATATATATATATATATATATATATATATATATATATATTGGCGGTAGCTGGAGGCCGCGCCACTTGCTAACACGCCGGCACCACGCTGGCACCATGCTGACACATCGCTGACACCACACTGGCATCATGTTGGCACAATGGTGGCATCATGCTGGCATTCGTGCTGGCACCATGTTGGTACCATGGTGACACCGAACTGGCACCATGGTGGCACCGACAGGCTGGCCAGTACACCTGCTCCGCCCGCTACTGTTTATGGAATGCTTCAGATATTACTAGTTACACTCGCTCACTGTCAAGTTCGGCAGCAGGACGGCCCATGGCTCCTCCTATCTGCTCTGTGTGCAACATTTACCAATAAACTTGCTACAACCGTTTCAGGTAAATAATTGGTTTGGTTGTGTGTAAGGTAGATAGGTGTGTGGTAAGTGTGGTAGACAAGTGGTTGGTGTGAGTGTGCGGGCGCGGCACACCACCTCACACCCGACGTGCGTCCGTCTTATACACACACGTGCTGATGCTCGCCTCACACACTGGCCGCCCTCACCTCACCTCTCAACACTCCCAGCACCACGTCTCAGCTCCAGCAAATTCCTGGTACCAGTTTGTGAGAAACAGTAAGAGTCCAGACTGCCGTCCAGCCTTCTCCTGACTCTACGCTGTGGGTGATCTCGGGCCAGGATAATTTGCTGTCTCTGTCACTCACAATTCCCACGTTTGTTAGATAGGTGGCTCCGCCCGTGACGCTCACACCCGGCGTAGAGAGGCGTAGGGCGCTGGCCACAGTGCCTCTTGTTATAACCAAGTTCGGGGTGGAGTGACTGCTGGGTGGTAGTCGACAAACCAAGGCTGTGGTAGCCCCGGCCTCGACTGCTGTTGCTGCTACTGTTGTGGTTGATGCTGTTTGGAGGGTGTGAGGGAGGAGGGGGTAGGGTAGGAAGACAAAGCCGGGTTCTTGATGCTGCTGCAAAGGTTGTGGTGGGTGGTGAGAGAGGAAGACTAGGTGTGATTAAGGATGTTGGCGTGGAAGAAAAAGGGTGGAAGTGTTGTTGTGGAGGTGTGAGTGGAGGAAGAGGAGGTACAAGGGCCATTAGAGTGGGTGGGAGGAGGAGGCCGGGTCGGGTCTGATGGTTTCCAGCTTAGCTTGTTCGTTGGCCACCATGGAAGGCTCCGTGTTCCGCCTCCGCAGCTTAGACTTGGAGGTCTTCTTGAGCATGGTGGCCTGCGTGGGTGGGCAAGGGGTCAGTGGGTCAGGTGAACAAGGGTCAGTGGTAGAGTTAGGAAACATATGTTTAGGACACAGCGGGAATGTTAAGGTGAAGAGGAGTGAGGCAGTGTAGTAACCATGAACAGTTTGAAAAGGTAGGTTGGATTTGATAAGGTTAAAAAAAAAGTGGGACATAGGGCAAAAATGGCAGGGAAGAAAAATAGGAGAGGGATGCAATATGTGAGGAGAGAACGTGGGAATAAGGAGAAAGGAGGGGAGAAAATAGGGACCATAAAAGGAAACATTATAGATTACTAGGCTTTGGAGAGCTGTACATCAAACCAACAAAATCAGATATGGTATTAACAACTAAGAAAACATGGTGGAGAAAATCATTTGGGCGAACATCAGAAGGAAAGAGCTAGAATACCAGTTATGGTGTGTGAGGGAGCGTCCTAAGACCCGCCACGCCTCTCCTACACACAATCTTCGACTTGTTAATGTGATACTTCAAGGCAACGTATATGTGAGTTTTATATTCATCATGTGTCACACAAGGATTCTGAGCATTGGTTCTTGCCTTCATAATTAGAAGACAAAACACGAGAAAAGGGTTTAGAGAAAACGAGGTATGCGAGAGTAAAATATCACAGCCGCTTAACCAAACACAAAACTTGATGAACGGAAGAAAACGAAGTGTATGGATGGTCACTCCTGGAAGAGTATATGTGAGAGGCAGAGTGTTAGTGAGAGGTAGAGAGGGCATGGGTGTGGAATGTGAGGAGACATGGGTAGGGTGAGGAAGGCTAGGGGTCGGTGGGCTCCTTGTCACCATTGGAGGCATGCAGCGAGGGTTCCGTGTTTCTTCGCTTGATCTTACTTTTCTTCAGCATAGTGGCCTACAAAATAAACAAAAGTAAAAATGCAACAGTGACTAATATCTACGTGTTACCACCTATATAATTTTAGAGAATGTGTTTTTATATATACTGTATATATAGATTTTTTCTTCAATTCCTCTCTCTCTATCTCTCTCTCTCTTCCTGCCTCCCATTCCAGGAACAAGAGGGTGGTGTATTACCTTACACGATAATGTGTCGCATCCAAAAAAGTTAAACAAATATCACTTGACTGACCATTAATGATGCCACAATGAAGAACTATTAGTGTATATTTATGACCATGATGCTGACCTCTGCCTGTGATAGGTCAGTGTTGTCAGTGTGTGTGTATGTTGTTGTCAGTGTATGTGTAGAAGGCAGTGTGCTATTGTTGCTAGTGTGCATGGCTGTCAGTGTGTGAAGTTGTCCAAGTGTGTTGGTGTTAGTATGTGTGTGTGTGTGTGTGTGTGTGTTAGCACGTAGTTGTTAGTGTATATTTGTTAGTAGTTAGTTGTCAGTGTATAGTTGTCAGTATGTAGCTGTGTATAGTTGTGTATAGTTGTCAGTGTATAGTTGTCAGTATGTAGCTGTGTATAGTTGTGTATAGTTGTCAGTGTATAGTTGTCAGTATGTAGCTGTGTATAGTTGTGTATAGTTGTCAGTGTATAGTTGTTAGTATGCAGTTGTGCATTGTTGTCAGTGTATAGTTGTGTATAGTTGTCAGTGTATAGTTATGTATAGTTGTCAGTATGTAGTTGTGAATAGTTGTCAATGTATAGTTGTCAGTATGCAGTTGTGTATAGTTGTCAGTGTATAGTTGTGTATTGTTGTTAGTGTATAGTTATGTATAGTTGTCAGTGTATAGTTGTCAGTATGCAGTTGTGCATTGTTGTCAGTGTATAGTTGTGTATAGTTGTCAGTGTATAGTTGTGTATAGTTGTCAGTGTATAGTTGTGTATTGTTGTTAGTATGTAGCTGTGTATAGTTGTGTATAGTTGTCTGTGTATAGTTGTGTATAGTTGTCAGTGTATAGTTGTGTATAGTTGTTAGTATGGAGCTGTGTATAGTTGTGTATAGTTGTCAGTGTATAGTTGTGTATAGTTGTCAATGTATAGTTGTGTATAGTTGTCAGTGTATAGTTGTGTATAGTTGCCAGTGTATAGTTGTGTATAGTTGTTAGTATGTAGCTGTGTATAGTTGTCAGTGTATAGTTGTGTATAGTTTTCAGTGTATAGTTGTCAGTGTATAGTTGTGTATAGTTGTCGGCGGTGTATAGTTGTGTATAGTTGTCAGTGTATATGAATTGTGTATAGTTGTCGGTGTATAGTTTTCAGTGTATAGTTTTTCGGTGTATAGTTGTCAGTGTATAGTTGTCAGTGTATAGTTGTGTGTACTTAGTTGTCAGTGTATAGTTGTATAGTTGTCAGTGTATATAGTTGTGTACCTGTTGCTCCAGTGTATAGTTGTTGAGTGTATAGTTGTCAGTATGTAGTTACATGTATAGTTGTCAGTACTATAGTTGATTGTGTATAGTTTTCAGTGTATAGTTGTCAGTGTATAGTTGTGTATAGTTGTCTAATTTTCTGGTGTGTGTATATGAATTTCCAACCAGTACACTGCATGAAAGTTGTGTATAGTTGTCAGTGTATAGTTGTGTATAGTTGTCAGTGTATAGTTGTGTATTGTTGTTAGTATGTAGCTGTGTATAGTTGTGTATAGTTGTCTGTGTATAGTTGTGTATAGTTGTCAGTGTATAGTTGTGTATAGTTGTTAGTATGGAGCTGTGTATAGTTGTGTATAGTTGTCAGTGTATAGTTGTGTATAGTTGTCAATGTATAGTTGTGTATAGTTGTCAGTGTATAGTTGTGTATAGTTGCCAGTGTATAGTTGTGTATAGTTGTTAGTATGTAGCTGTGTATAGTTGTCAGTGTATAGTTGTGTATAGTTTTCAGTGTATAGTTGTCAGTGTATAGTTGTGTATAGTTGTCAGTGTAAAGTTGTGTATAGTTGTCAGTGTAAAGTTGTGTATAGTTGTCAGTGTATAGTTGTTGAGTGTATAGTTGTCAGTATGTAGTTGTGTATAGTTGTCAGTGTATAGTTGTGTATAGTTTTCAGTGTATAGTTGTCAGTGTATAGTTGTGTATAGTTGTCAGTGTATAGTTGTGTATAGTTGTCAGTGTATAGTTGTGTATAGTTGTCAGTGTATAGTTGTGTATAGTTGTCGGTGTATAGTTGTGTATAGTTTTCAGTGTATAGTTGTCAGTGTATAGTTGTGTATAGTTGTCAGTGTAAAGTTGTGTATAGTTGTCAGTGTATAGTTGTGTATAGTTGTCAGTGTATAGTTGTGTATAGTTTTCAGTGTATAGTTGTCAGTGTATAGTTGTGTATAGTTGTCAGTGTAAAGTTGTGTATAGTTTTCAGTGTATAGTTGTCAGTGTATAGTTGTGTATAGTTGTCAGTGTATAGTTGTGTATAGTTGTCAGTGTATAGTTGTGTATAGTTGTCAGTGTATAGTTGTGTATAGTTGTCAGTGTATAGTTGTGTATAGTTGTCAGTGTAAAGTTGTGTATAGTTGTCAGTGTAAAGTTGTGTATAGTTGTTAGTATGTAGCTGTGTATAGTTGTGTATAGTTGTCTGTGTATAGTTGTGTATAGTTGTTAGTATGTAGCTGTGTATAGTTGTGTAAAGTTGTCAGTGTATAATTGTGTATAGTTGTCAATATGTAGCTGTGAATAGTTGTCAATGTATAGTTGTCAGTGTATAGTTGTGTATAGTTGTTAGTATGTAGTTGTGTATAGTTGTGTATAGTTGTCAGTGTATAGTTGTGTATAGTTGTTAGTATGTAGTTGTGTATAGTTGTGATTAGTTGTCAATGTATAGTTGTTTGTGTATAGTTGAGTATAGTTGTGTATAGTTGTTAGTGTATAGTTGTGTATAGTTGTGTATAGTTGTGTATAGTTGTCAATGTATAGTTGTTAGTGTAAAGTTGTGTATAGTTGTCAATATGTAGTTGTGTATAGTTGTCAGTGTAAAGTTGTGTATAGTTGTCAGTGTATAGTTGTGTATAGTTGTTAGTATGTAGTTGTGTATAGTTGTCAGTGTATAATTGTCAGTGTATAGTTGTGTATAGTTGTGAATAGTTGTCAATGTATAGTTGTCAGTGTATAGTTGTGTATAGTTGTCAGTGTATAGTTGTCAGTGTATAATTGTGTATAGTTGTCAGTGTATAGTTGTGTATAGTTATCAGTGTATAGTTGTGTATCGTTGTCAGTGTATAGTTGTGTATAGTTGTTAGTATGTAGTTGTGTATAGTTGTCAGTGTATAATTGTCAGTGTATAGTTGTGTATAGTTGTTAGTATGTAGCTGTGTATAGTTGTCAGTGTATAGTTGTGTATAGTTCTTAGTCTGTAGCGGTGTATAGTTGTGTATAGTTCTTAGTATGTAGTTGTGTATAGTTATCGATATATAGTTGTGTATAGTTGTCAGTGTATAGTTGTGTATAGTTCTTAGTCTGTAGCGGTGTATAGTTGTGTATAGTTCTTAGTATGTAGTTGTGTATAGTTATCGATATATAGTTGTGTATAGTTATCAGTGTATAGTTGTGTATAGTTGGTAGTATGTAGCTGTGTATAGTTGTGTATAGTTGTTAGTATGTAGTTGTGTATAGGTGTTAGTAAGTAGCTGTGTATAGTTGTGTATAGTTGTCAGTATGTAGTTGTGTATAGTTATCGATATATAGTTGTGTATAGTTGTCAGTGTATAGTTGTGTATAGTTATCAGTATGTAGTTGTGTTTAGTTATCAGTGTATAGTTGTCAATGTATAGTTGTCAGTGTATAGTTTTCAGTGTATAGTTGTGTATAGTTGTCAGTATGTAGTTGTGTATAGTTGTCAGTGTATAGTTGTGTATAGGTGTTAGTAAGTAGCTGTGTATAGTTGTGTATAGTTGTCAGTATGTAGTTGTGTATAGTTGTCAGTGTATAGTTGTGTATAGGTGTTAGTAAGTAGCTGTGTATAGTTGTGTATAGTTGTCAGTATGTAGTTGTGTATAGTTATCGATATTAGTTGTGTATAGTTGTCAGTGTATAGTTGTGTATAGTTATCAGTATGTAGTTGTGTATAGTTATCAGTGTATAGTTGTCAATGTATAGTTGTCAGTGTATAGTTGTCAGTGTATAGTTGTGTATAGTTGTCAGTGTATAGTTGTGTATAGTTGTCAGTATGTAGTTGTGTATAGTTGTCAGTGTATAGTTGTGTATAGTTGTCAGTATGTAGTTGTGTATAGTTGTCAGTGTATAGTTGTCAGTATGTAGTTGTGTATAGTTGTCAGTGTATAGTTGTGTATAGTTGTCAGTGTATAGTTGTGTATAGTTGTTAGTATGTAGTTGTGCATAGTTGTCAGTGTATAGTTGTCAGTGTATAGCTGTGTATAGCTGTGTATAGTTGTGTATAGTTGACAGTGTATAGTTGTCAGTGTATAGTTGTCAATATATAGTTGTCAGTGTATAGCTGTGTATAGCTGTGTATAGTTGTGTATAGTTGACAGTGTATAGTTGTCAGTGTATAGTTGTCAATATATAGTTGTCAGTGTATAGTTGTGTATAGTTGTCAGTATGTAGTTGTGAATAATTGTCAATGTATAGTTGTCAGTGTATAGTTGTCAATATATAGTTGTCAGTGTATAGCTGTGTATAGCTATGTATAGTTGTGTATAGTTGACAGTGTATAGTTGTCAGTGTATAGTTGTCAATATATAGTTGTCAGTGTATAGTTGTGTATAGTTGTCAGTATGCAGTTGTGTATAGTTGTCAGTGTATAGTTGTCAATATATAGTTGTCAGTGTATAGTTGTCAGTGTATAGTTGTCAGTGTATAGTTGTCAATATATAGTTGTCAATATATAGTTGTCAGTGTATAGTTGTGTATAGTTGTCAGTATGCAGTTGTGTATAGTTGTCAGTGTATAGTTGTCAGTGTATAGTTGTTAGTATGCAGTTGTGTATAGTTGTCAGTGTATAGTTGTCAATATATAGTTGTCAGTGTATAGTTGTCAGTGTATAGTTGTCAATATATAGTTGTCAGTGTATAGTTGTGTATAGTTGTCAGTATGTAGTTGTGAATAGTTGTCAGTGTATAGTTGTCAATATATAGTTGTCAGTGTATAGTTGTCAGTGTATAGTTGTCAGTGTATAGTTGTCAATATATAGTTGTCAGTATGCAGTTGTGTATAGTTGTCAGTGTATAGTTGTCAGTGTATAGTTGTCAGTGTATAGTTGTCAGTGTATAGTTGTCAGTATGCAGTTGTGTATAGTTGTCAATATATAGTTGTCAGTATGCAGTTGTGTATAGTTGTCAGTGTATAGTTGTCAGTGTATAGTTGTCAGTGTATAGTTGTGTATAGTTGTCAGTGTATAGTTGTCAGTATGCAGTTGTGTATAGTTGTCAGAGTATAGTTGTCAGTGTATAGTTCTCAGTGTATAGTTGTCAGTGTATAGTTGTCAGTATGCAGTTGTGTATAGTTGTCAGTGTATAGTTGTCAGTGTATAGTTGTCAGAGTATAGTTGTCAGTGTGTAGTTGTCAGAGTATAGTTGTCAGTATGCAGTTGTGGATAGTTGTCAGTGTATAGTTGTCAGTATGCAGTTGTGTATAGTTGTCAGTGAGTATAGTTGTCAGTGTATAGTTGTCAGTGTATAGTTGTCAGAGTATAGTTGTCAGTATGCAGTTGTGTATAGTTGTCAGTGAGTATAGTTGTCAGTGTGTATAGTTGTCAGTGAGTATAGTTGTCAGTGTATAGTTGTCAGTGTGTATAGTTGTCAGTGTGTATAGTTGTCAGTGAGTATAGTTGTCAGTGAGTATAGTTGTCAGTGTGTATAGTTGTCAGTGAGTATAGTTGTCAGTGAGTATGGCTGCAATATGTGTTACTGTTTTTGTGTTTTCATTGTGTGGTTTTCAGAGTGTGTGTGTGTGTGTTTGTTTTGTTAGTGTGTGTGTGTGTGTGTGTGTGTGTAAGGGTCCAGCATCAAGGTACACAATGTGTTATGAAACATTCTCTAAAACGTCACTAAATATATAGCTGTTGGTAACTTCACCTGTGGGAGTTGGGGGAAGGGGGGGGGAGGCCTCTACTCTGAAATTTTGAAGGTTAAGGAGGAATGTCGTCTAAATATCAGGGGTAATACTTACGACGTACAGACACACAACGTATGGACTCCTTGACAGGTGTGCGTGTGTGTGTGGGGGGGGAGGGGGGTTAGGTGGGGCCCGAGGCTTACAGGATATACAGTATACTAAGCAAAAATATCTTACACGGATATATTGAGAAAAATAAATAAAACATATTAACATTTCTAACTCGAAAAAAATATCAATTGACGAAAAGAAAAAATCGTATCATTACATAAAATGGCCGTACATCCTTCATAACGAATGTCGACGTGTGATGTTTGTATGTGGCCACTGTGGCCACTATGTATGGGGTAAGTAGCCACTGTGTATGGGGTCAGTGGCCACTGTGTATGGGGTCAGTGGGCACTGTGTATGGGGTCAGTGGCCAACGTGAGCAACCTCACTTGGCCCATGGTAAGCCACCTCACCTGGACCAAGGTGAGCCACCTCACCTGCCCCGAGGTAAGCCACTCTACCTTGGTCCAAGGTACACCTCACTACTCATCCCACCAACACTATAGTTTACTGGGAATCATATTGGAACGCCGCGTTAATCCTATTTTATACTTGTTACAGCGACCTATTGACCGAACAGCCCTGATCATTCCAGCTTTTTCCTCTACTGATGTCTCTCTAGTGACGCCAGAATGACCAATGAAACATAGTGTGAGACAATAACACCGACACCCCGCTCATACTACACTAGATCTTCTAGCTTAAACCTTTATGTATTGATAAGCTGATGGTCTGAGAAGAAGCAATAATATATATATATATATATATATATATATATATATATATATATATATATATATATATATATATATATATATATATATATATATTAAGAATAGTAGGAATAAGAAAGAAAAAGGAACTAGTTCTATGAGTTTCTCACAGCTTATGTACATGACATGTTAACAGTAATATGCCACAGACAACAAGCTCTCGTGAGAGACAAAGTCTGAAACTCGTCAATCAAATACACGCGCAGTAATCTATAACCTTTTAATTACAGAGGGTGAGCACGAGTCATAAGAGGGCGGTGTGTGAGGGCGTCACCAACTCTAAGTCAGGTGTTAACACTAACTACTTCATAGAAACTGTTGTTATCAACTGCAACACTACATTGATGAATCATATGCCTGCAACACTTATGGCGGGCCTTCCGTGATGACGTTATCTTGTGTTTACCAACGGGTGCAGCTTCACCATTATAATGTTAACGTGCGGAGCTTAAACAAGCTTAAATCAATAACGAGACACTTAACTACACCATAATATTTTTTTTAAATATTGTATTAAAGGTACAAAAGAGTGTGGGAGAATCTAAAATTTGATGGGACGACAATTACAAAGATGATGGACACCACTTATTTATACCAGCAATGATTTCTGAAGTGATTGACGCTCGATTCGTAAGACGAGTTTATTAGTAGCATTGTATACTGATAGGCGGGTCAGGGGAAGGCAGAGACTGAGATGGATGAATGAAATTTAAAAAATGGGTCCTCAGAGAGATATAAAACCTTAGAGGATTGTTAAAAACAGCCCGAGAACGTTTAGAGTGGAGGACTGTGGTCGCCAACCCCCAGATGTGAGGACGGTACTCTGATTAACTGATCGATAATAATAAGTAATAGAGGTGGGTGTGGCTATGTCTAACTTCAGCTGCGTTTTGATAAATTTACATAAAACAGAAAAAGTATAAACTTCATTATAGAATTTCGTACAAGCAGCCAAGACTTAACGTGTTGGTAATATTGTACACCGGCACCGCTGAAATAGATTGTAATGTTTCTTTCTAACTCTTTTTATATAACCTGAAAAATATTTAAAATGGTCAAAGAAGAACAACATCGTAAGGCGATCTTACCCACATGTTAGTCTGACGGCGAAGTCATCAAATAGAACACGCACTTAAACCCGGATTGTGACGTCATCGTAACGCATACACGGAAGGCCTCATATTCAGTCAGGAATTTTCTAACTAATGATAAATGTGATGATCTGCTGGTGGGTGGGTGTTAGGTCTGGCTACCACTATTGTAACCTGTTTTATTGCCACACCCCCCGTCACCACCCCAAACAACCACATCCCTCTCACAGCCACAACCCCGTCACCACCCCAAACAACCACATCTCTCTCACAGCCACATCCCCGTCACCACCCCTAACAACCACATCTCTCTCACAGCCACATCCCCGTCACCACTCCTCCCAGCCAAACCCCCATCACTCCCTCCCAGCCACATCTCCGTCACCACCCCTTCCAGCCACACCCCCTTCTCCACCCCTCCCAGCCACATCCCTGTCACCATCCCTTCCAGCCACACCCCCTTCTCCATCCCTCTCAGCCACATTCCCTTCTCCACTCCTCCCAGCCACACCTCCGTCACCACCCATCACAGCCACACTCCCGTCACCATCCCTCCTAGCCACACCTTCGTCACCCCTTCCCAGCCACACCCCCGTCACTACCCCTCCAACATACCTTTAGAGCAGACTTCAGAACCACCACCTCCCCCGGCGCCTGATTCCAGGGTTCCCCGTCCACTTGAACTGGAAGTTCAGAGTTGAGCTTGATGCGGATGTGTCCTGAAGGGTAAGTCAGAGATGAGCGGTCCAGGATGACGAACAATGTACATGGCTGTCAATTTCTTATTCCACACACGCGTGCATGCATGCATAAAAATTTAAATTTACACAATTTGAATTTGTAACTGTTATTCAGGAATTTCATTATATATTCTTACTCACTTGAGTCCTAGTGTGAAGGCTTCATAGCAGGATGTCAAAATTGGCATGACAATGATGGCGCTATTAAAGTCTATTATCGGAAGTGACATCGACAGTGAATCTCTGGCAACTGTGAGTGTTGTGGTGTAACTTCATAAATTGGCTGAGTTTTTGTGTATATAATGGATCGACTTATATAAAGATTCACATTTGACACTTGTGAGCTTTGGTCCGGTACATACTGTTAATATTCTCTCTTATATGTTGTTAATGTCTCCCACACACACACACACAACTACATAAATAGTGTCGAGCCATTATTTACATCCCTGACATCACCACTTAACTCTGGAAATAATATAACCAAAAACAAGGCGAGGTCGCTGAGGTTTTGTATAATTAGTGTTCTGGCGATTATCACTCAGGGCGTCTCGGAAACTTGAAACCCAAATGATTGATATCGAACTCAACCAAGTCTCTGAGTACGTAATAATATAAAACTGGGTCCATAAAAGCTGAGTTTAGAAACTTTATAAAAAATCAGACGTAGTTTTTTTGTGTTATTTTCATTGTTCGCCATTTTGGATTTCGACACACTGGCCTGGCTTGAACACCACCACACACTGACGATGATATTATCGTTAATGCAAAAGTTTGTAAATCATTATCACGAACTCAAGCAGTCCTATAACAAAGTATTTATTAATAAAATATAATAACACAGTGCCTTCTGTGGACCTTGTAAAAATTAATAACCAGACGGCGCTTTCACTGTTACCCATAATGCAAATCACTTTGTTAAATAAGAGATGTTACAGTAAGGATGTTACAAATAAAATAAGAATGTTACTGTAACAATGTTACACACACGGCATGAAGTCCTTTTTGTTATAATGTTATTACTGCGCTTCAACAACGAAGGTCTTTCATTGCGTAACAAGGTTAGTAATACAGCAGTCCAATCCAACAACAACTGAAAATTATGAGAGATAGAACTCTCCGTGTCCTATATGAGGTAGACAGAGGAGAGCCATGAATTGTACGGTTGATTTTTTCGCAAAATGAATCCTGTTATATAAACATTAAAAGTATATATATATATATATATATATGGCTACCAACTCACCCCCCTGGGCTATCCTTATGGCAGAGCGGAGTCCAGACTGTATCTGGCCCAGGTGGACGATACCGGTGACACCAACCACTTCCAGGTGACCGTCCCAGTGGTTGGGTTTGTTGAACTGGTCGTCCTTCTCGGGTCCCCAGGGGTTGGCTCCCGAGCCCCACGACAAAATGTTGAGGATGATGACTCCCTCCACGGGCGGCAACTCCACCGTGCGACCGTCCACCTCCAGGCGGATCTCCTTATGTAGGTCCTTACACAACTTCCTTGACACCATCTTGCGCAGACCCATTTTTACGTAGACGCCCTTGTTGTGTAGCCTGGCAGAGGATACACAGTCAAGCTCAAAGCTACAGTCACACACTGTTGGCAGTATGACGTCACGTCCCTAGTGACCGGATGTATCAATTTGGTAATGTGCAATGAAACTGTTGCTGACCACACATGGTACTACAGCCTGGCCTTACCAAGATCTTACCTGGTCACTTTCGTAGGAAAATTTGGCATAAAAAATGGGACACAACTTCTTAACGGGTCGTAAGAGTTTGCTTAGCCTTTTTTCATATAGCGAACACGGTTGCTAAGGAAGTGACGTCATACTGATTGTTGTAATACTGTACTCCTTTCTCTACCATCTTCTGCCTCTCCCATGGTGGACTTAAAACACTAACACAACCTTTTCTCTATTAATGATCTCCCTCCCTCTCCTCCGTGGGCAGCCTGGCTCACCTGCTGTTGAACTTGTTGGGGTTTTCCTCACGGGCGTTGTGGAAGTCGAGGCAGAGCTCTGCCTCGATGCCGATACCGAAGTAGTTGTTCATAACGAAGATCTGTGTGTTGTCCTCGCTGGTGGAGCCTGCTGATCGACACACACAAGGCCAGGTTAGGATCATCACTCCACACCAGGGATAGGGCAAGGGAGGGTAGATAGGTAGGCAAAGGAAAGAGAGAGAGGGAGAGAGAGAGAAAATGTTTCTTTCTCTCCCTCTTTATACGAGTATATATATATATATATATATATATATATATATATATATATATATATATATATATATATATATATATATATATATATATATATATATATATATATACCATAGGGATAATTGCCCAATAGCGCTGACTTTTATGTATTTAACTTTTGGGGAAACTTCTAACTGGCCACAAACGAGTGTGTAAAACATCGGTAATACATATAAATTAACAGATTCACATAAAAGCTAACTCAACCTTACCTAACCTACTTTAGCTGTAATTTGGCTTTGCTATGATGGCAAACTACGTCTTAAATGAATCGGTAAACTTTACTATACAATGTACGAATTAATTTTCATAATTATAGCAATAAAAAAAAGTTATCCCCATTTGGCAAGAACGTCAGTTGCCTTTTCAAAGATTAATGGCGATTATCCCTATTTAACGATATATATATATATATATATATATATATATATATATATATATATATATATATATATATATATATATATATATATATATATATATATATATATATATATATATATATATATATATATATATATATATATATATATATATATATATATATATATATATATATATATATATAAGAAAAAGAGAGAGAGGAGACAATAACAGAAGAGGAGGAGATAGACTAAGGGTGTGGATGCAACACATGATGTACAAGTGTTAGTGTACAGCGGGGATGAGCACCTCTCCACACTACAACAAACTAGCTGGGTCTCTCACACATGAACCACTTTACTCAACAAATTTCCTAGAGACAAACACTAAGACATCTATCTAACGCCTATTATGAGGCATTTAAAGTTTTGACAAAACTAATATCAGTGGAGAGGATGTACATTAAAAACTCGTGGCGTGTGTTGTGTGAGAAAGAAATGTAGGGAAGGGGATGAGATGCCGCGAGCCATGGCGACCCCAACAAAACTCGTCCCACAGTGTATACCTCTGACAGTCATAGTTATCAAGAGCTTTATATCTTTCTTTATATCTTTATTAAATCATTAATATATATAGCTCATCTCATTCTTCAAATTTTACTGAGGTTATGGAAAATTTTGGTGTTTCTGCAACAAGATGGTCGCCCACGTCTCAGAGCTGTGAGTGTGCAAGACCAGACATGTTAGAGACATGTTACAGAGAGGACTGCACACGTCATTACGACACTACGTATACCGTGCATGGTGTGATGGTTGTGTTCTTTCGAGACACAGCGTCGTCGGTTAGAATCCTGTCCATGGGTTATGTACATTCCACGACGTGAGTGCCCTAAATGTAGAGAGTGAATGTTTCAATACAAGTTTCTTGCTTATCTTCACAACCTCTTACACAATAATTGCTCCACACTCTTAATACTTCACGCTATATAAATGTATATGTCTGATAGTGAAGGTAGAAATATACATTATTCTTATGATTATCATTATTATTAATGCTATAATTAATATCTCCAACAATACTATATGTTTAAGTTACCTCCAATTCCTCTACCTGTTGCTGTCCTAACCTGTGGTCCACTGATGGTGTCCTAAACCTGTGGTCCAGTATTGGTGTCCTAACCTGTGGTCCAGTATTGGTGTCCTAACCTGTGGTCCACCGTTGCTGTCCTAACCTGTGGTCCACTGATGGTGTCCTAACCCTGTGGTCCAGTATTGGTGTCCTAACCTGTGGTCCAGTAGTGGTGGCCTAACCTGTGGTCCACCGTTGCTGTCCTAACATGTGGCCCAATATTGGTGTCCTAACCTGTGGTCCAGTATTGGTGTCCTAACCTGTGGTCCACTGATGGTGTCCTAACCCTGAGGTCCAGTATTGGTGTCCTAACCTGTGGTCCACTGTTGCTGTCCTAACCTGTGGTTCAATATTGGCGTCCTAACCTGTGGTCCAGTATTGGTGTCCTAACCTGTGATCCACTGATGGTGTCCTAACCCTGTGGTCAAGTATTGGTGTCCTAACCTGTGGTCCACCGTTGCTGTCCTAACCTGTGGTTCAGTATTGGTGTCCTAACCTGTGGTCCAGTATTGGTGTCCTAACCTGTTGTGCACTGTTGATGTCCTATCCTGTGGTCCACTGTTGCTGTCCTAACCTGTGGTACAGTATTGGTGTCCTAACCTGTGGTCCAGTATTGGTGTCCTAACCTGTGGTCCACTGTTGCTGTCCTAACCAGTGGTCCAGTATTGGTGTCCTAACTTGTGGTCCACTGTTGCTGTCCTAACCTGTGGTCCAGTATTGGTGTCCTAACCTGTGGTCCAGTATTGGTGTCCTAACCTGTGGTCCAGTATTGGTGTCCTAACCTGTGGTCCAGTATTGGTGTCCTAACCTGTTGTGCACTGTTGATGTCCTATCCTGTGGTCCACTGTTGCTGTCCTAACCTGTGGTCCAGTATTGGTGTCCTAACCTGTGGTCCAATATTGGTGTCCTAACCTGTGGTTCACTGTTGCTGAACTAACTTGTGGTCCACTGATGGTGTCCTAACCTGTGGTTCAATATTGGTATCCTAACCTGTGGTCCAGTATTGGTGTCCTATCCTGTGGTCCAGTATTGATGTCCTAACCTGTGGCCACCGTTGCTGTCCTAACCTGTGGTCCAGTATTGGTGTCCTAACCTGTGGTCCACCGTTGCTGTCCTAACCTGTGGTCCAGTATTGGTGTCCTAACCTGTGATCCATTATTGGTGTCCTAACCTGTGGTCCACTGTTGATGTCTTGACCTGTGGTCCACTGTTGCTGTCCTAACCTATGGTCCAGTATTGGTGTCCTAACCTGGGGACCAGTATTGGTGTCCTAACCTGTGGTCCATTGTTGCTGTCCTAACCTGTAGTCCACTGTTGGTGTCCTAACCTGTGGTCCACTGTTGCTGTCCTAACCTGTGGTCCAGTGTTGGTGTCCTAACCTGTGGTTCACTGTTGCTGTCCTAACCTGTGGTCCACTGTTGGTGTCCTAACCTGTGGTTCACTGTTGCTGTCCTAACCTGTGGTTCACTGTTGGTGTCCTAACCTGTGGTCCACTGTTGCTGTCCTAACCTGTGGTTCACTGTTGGTGTCCTAACCTGTGGTCCACTGTTGCTGTCCTAACCTGTGGTCCAGTATTGGTGTCCTAACCTGTGGTTCACTGTTGGTGTCCTAACCTGTGGTTCACTGTTGGTGTCCTAACCTGTGGTCCACTGTTGGTGTCCTAACCTGTGGTCCACTGTTGCTGTCCTAACCTGTGGTTCACTGTTGGTGTCCTAACCTGTGGTTCACTGTTGCTGTCCTAACCTGTGGTCCACTGTTGGTGTCCTAACCTGTGGTTCACTGTTGCTGTCCTAACCTGTGGTTCACTGTTGGTGTCCTAACCTGTGGTCCATTGTTCCTGTCCTAACCTGTGGTCCAGTATTGGTGTCCTAACCTGTGGTTCACTGTTGCTGTCCTAACCTGTGGTCCAGTATTGGTGGCCTAACCTGTGGTTCACTGTTGCTGTCCTAACCTGTGGTCCAGTATTGGTGTCCTAACCTGTGGTTCACTGTTGCTGTCCTAACCTGTGGTCCGCTGTTGCTGTCCTAACCTGTGGTCCACTGTTGGTGTCCTAACCTGTGGTCCCTGTTGGTGTAACCTGTGGTCCACTGTTGCTGTCCTAACCTGTGGTCCACTGTTGGTGTCCTAACCTGTAGTCCACTGTTGGTGTCCTAAACTGTAGTCCACTGTTGGTGTCCCAACTGGTCCACTGTTGCTGTCCTAACCTGTGGTCCACTGTTGGTGTCCTAACCTGTGGTCCACTGTTGGTGTCCTAACCTGTAGTCCACTGTTGGTGTCCTAACCTGTGGTCCACTGTTGGTGTCCTAACCTGTAGTCCACTGTTGGTGTCCTAACCTGTGGTCCACTGTTGGTGTCCTAACCTGTAGTCCACTGTTGCTGTCCTAACCTGTGGTCCACTGTTGCTGGCCTAACCTGTGGTCCACTGTTGGTGTCCTAACCTGTAGTCCACTGTTGCTGTCCTAACCTGTAGTCCACTGTTGGTGTCCTAACCTGTGGTCCACTGTTGGTGTCCTAACCTGTTGTCCACTGATGGTGTCCTAACCTGTGGTCTAGTGTTGGTGTCCTGATCTGTGGTCCAGTGTTGGTGTCCTAAACTGCGGTACAGTGTTGGTGTCCTAACCTGTGGTCCACTGATGGTGTCCTAACCTGTGGTCCAGAGTTGGTGTCCTAACCTGTGGTCTACTGATGGTGTCCTAACCTGAGGTTCCAGTGTTGGTGTCCTGACCTGTGGTCTACTGATGGTGTCCTAACCTGAGGTTCCAGTGTTGGTGTCCTGACCTGTGGTCTACTGATGGTGTCCTAACCTGTGGTCCACTGATGGTGTCCTAACCTGTGGTCCAGTGTTGGTGTCCTAACCTGTGGTCTACTGATGGTGTCCTAACCTGAGGTTCCAGTGTTGGTGTCTAACCTGTGGTCTACTGATGGTGTCCTAACCTGAGGTTCCAGTGTTGGTGTCTGACCTGTGGTGGTGTCCTAACCTGAGGTTCCAGTGTTGGTGTCCTGACCTGTGGTCTACTGATGGTGTCCTAACCTGAGGTTCCAGTGTTGGTGTCCTGACCTGTGGTCTACTGATGGTGTCCTAACCTGAGGTTCCAGTGTTGGTGTCCTGACCTGTGGTCTACTGATGGTGTCCTAACCTGAGGTTCCAGTGTTGGTGTCCTGACCTGTGGTCTACTGATGGTGTCCTAACCTGTGGTCTACTGATGGTGTCCTAACCTGTGGTCCAGTGTTGGTGTCCTGACCTGTGGTCCCTGATTGTCCCTGGATGAGTCTTGGTTGAGTGGGTCCTTACCTGTTGAGTTGGTCTGCGTCTGCTTGTCTTCCACCTTCTCGTCTTGGTGGAAGACCACGGTCCACCTGTCTAGTCGGATATCTTCGGCGTCGATAACGTCCTTCAAGAGGTTGATGGGATCCTCCCCGCCGTTGTAGCCAGGGCCCCAGCGAAGGACCCGTGCTAGGTCATTGCCTGTCCCTAAGGGTACAATGGCACAGGCTGGGTGTTGGCACTCAGAATCCTGCCCCACATTATCCAGGCACTGCAGGACCCAACCAATGGTACCGTCCCCGCCACACACCAGGATCTTGTATTTCTTTACGTGACGGAACACGTACAACCTGCATACGAGGAAGGCTAGTTTGTAACGAGTCTGGGTTACACATCTGTTATCACGCTTGTAACACTGCACCAAGACAACTTATTATTATGTTACAGCAAATTAGTATCATTACAGCAAATTTGTATCTGTTACATGGCTGTTTCAACTTAAGCTCTTGTTTAATTTGTCGACAGACATTTGGTTACAGACGAACACACTCATTCTCAGGTGTCCTTTCCAAGAAGATTTCTGAAATATTAAAACTTGCCTCATAGATTTAATTGATACACAGTAAATATTATAAGGTCACATCACAACAAACGGCTGATAGTAAATGATATAATATGCGGGGAGCTATGCTATAAGACCATGTTTACATTGATGTTTAGATTATACAACAATAATTACTTATAGTAAACATGACTCAGCAACTTACCCTCTCCATACAACAATAATCACACACGTATTTATACAACGTCATTGAGATATACATACATACATTCATACAGATTCAGATTTGCCCCCGAGGGGGCTAGTTTATTGGGCACCCCCCTTACATCCTGTGCAAGGTGAAGCGCAGAAGCGTTTACAGCGCCCAACAGGGAAGTATGAAAAGTTCATACTTGCCTTTATGACTCGTACATTAAGGGCGTAAAAGCCTGAAGGGTCATAGATTCTGTCAAGTTACATAAAGTGAGAGAATGATGAGTGTGTGGGGGGAAAGTTCCCGGTACATTTTATCTGTTTATGGCAAAGAGTGGCAGGTCCCTAATAATGTCAAATGCCAGGCCTGTGACTAGGAGGAGGGATATATACATTCATACACACATACATACATACATACATACTTATACATTAGTAAACATTACCCACACAGAGACAGGAGAACGACAAGCGACTTACCCAGGTAGTGGTCCTCCATTATCGAGGTCGAACACCTGGTAAGGGTTGAGGAGCTTCCTGAAGGAGGTGATGAGTTCAAGACCCTGGCAGCCACCGGACTTAACGTTGACGAAGACGAGGAGCGGCTGCACGCCCTCTGGGATCATCTGAGGTTGTATGTTGGGGAGCAACATCACTGTTGGCGAGGGGGGAAGGGGCATCAGGCATTATAGATACACGTCATGACTTTAAGAACACGTCACCAAGACATTAAGAACACGTCACCAAGACTTTAAGAACACGTCACCAAGACTTTAAGTACATCTCGTCGCGGCTTTAACAACACGTTATTATAACTTAAAAAAAACATCTGACGTAGAATACAACAGAAACTATCGTCATGAAGTAATCAGACACACACCACCATACTGCAATAGATCAAAACAGTAATGGCCCAATATGAATCCACTCTTCTTTTTTTTTTTTTTAGAATACGAATAAAAAAACAAAACATTTAAAACTTGGGGATTTATAAAACTAAAACATTTTTCGTTGCTGGATGACGTGAGTGTGACTAATAGGATTTAGGACCTTATTGTTTACTACAGGTTGAAGGCTTCGTGTAAGGCTGGGAGTGTGGTGCCATTACGTATAAAAAATATTGTCTCCTATCACAACATATACTGTACAGGTAGTGTCTACAAATTAATATAGAAAAAACAGACACACACACACATTTATATATACACAGAAATATCACAAATAATTATAGATAGATAGAGAGAGAGAGAGAGATAGATAGATCAGATATAATATAATATAATTTGTATGATTCTTCTGTGAACACCCTTATAAAACTAAAGTCAAGAGAAAGTAGATTATAGTCACAGAGTATTAGACATATTATGTGATAATGTTAGAGTACTGAGGGAAGGTTCAAGACTCACCTGAACATAACTGGGAAGGTTCAAGACTCACCTGAACATAACTGGGAAGGTTCAAGACTCACCTGAACATAACTGGGAAGGTTCAAGACCTACCTAGGAGGTTCTTGTCGTCGTAGCAAGATTCTCTGAGGGTGTAGAAAGCTCTCACTGCCAAGTCTGAGTCTTCGTAAGTGAGGACCATTGAACCGTACTCGTAGTAGATGGGCCCGATGCTCGAGTATTTGTACCCAGCTGTAAGAACATTGTTCCCTTGTTAGCTTATGACAACCTGAGACTCACATACCCGCCTGTAATACCTGTTCAAGTAGTGTGTGTGTAATAATTTGGTTATGTGTACAGTACAGTAACCTTGCTGTGAAGATTATGTTAAATTATAGACATCACCTGAAGATCAAACCCTCGCCTTATTTCACCTAATGATTAAACCTCCTAACGTTACCTGGGGGGAGGTGGGACGGTTAGATTAGGCTAGGTTAGGTTAGGTTTAATTTGGCTAATTTTAAGGTGAAATAATCATTAAAAAAGAAGACCGTTCAGTGCAAGAGCGGGTTCATTCCCTCCCTCCATGTATATTATTACGTTACTTACTACCCGGAGTCTGAAGGTGTTGCTACCCGTTATCAACAACATTTATAACATCAATGAGTCAATCAGTAATAATTATCCTTCGTTAGTGAGTGAATGAATGAGTGAGTGACAGTTACTTACACAGTCTTCGTTGGGGTCAACACAAAAACTCTCACAATAACAATATGATGATTGTTTGACATATAAAATAGTAACAATTAGCAAGTACCTTATTATTACTGATTAATTATAAACTTTAGTAAACTTAGTACATGTATAAGAAACTTGCATCATGAGACACAGCAATATACAGTTAATGAATTAATGATGGCAATATAATATATGATATACAAAATTATAGAAATCGCACATATATATACAGTATATATATATATATGTGTGTGTGTGTGTGTGTGTGTGTGTGTATGTGCGATTTCTATAGAAAGCGAACGTCCCTCACCTTGCGACACTAACACAGTACTTGGGGAACAACACCTGAGTATTACACACACACTTTATGCACCTACTAATAATCAATAATAATGGTTGTCCCTCGTGTAACGACGATGGCCGTCACTAGGGCCACTTAGGCGTGAATTTGTTTAAGGTGTAGAAGCTGTCGCCAACACAACAACCACACTCTGAGTTAACGAGATGCATGACCCAGTGTCAAGGAATAGTCCGAGAAGACCGGACAACTCGCCAACTGCATTGGTTAACCATTACCCCGGAACACGATCCGCAAATCGATTAACACCCAGGTTCCCAATTACAGCTGGATAGACAGAGGCAAATGGCGTAAAGAAACTTGCCCAAAGTTTCACCCTGCCTGAGGATCGAACCCGGGTCGACTCGCTTGCGAGGCGAGCAAGCTGCCCAATTCAATACACTACAGGTCGCCATCTACTATCCCCCCCCCCCTCCACAACAGACGTACAGTACAGGCAGAAAGTAATAAGTACAGGGTGTCCCCCTGGACAGAGAGCCAGTGATATAAGTGTCAACAGATGCACAGTAGTAGTGGCAGCTCCTAAGGTTATATTGCTGAGACAGAAGAGTGACACTGGGTTGGTGGTTCCCACCTTTACCGAGGATGTCTGCTAGGATGTTCTCGTACTGTCGCTGTGAGAGGTTAGGTGGAAGGCTGCCAACGAAGAGGGCGATGCTGGGTCCATGGGGGTCTTTGGCCAGTTGCAGGTAGAAACGGGTCATTTCCATCTGCCGGATGCTGTCACGACCCACTGCTTTGAGTAGTTCCCACGGCCGCTCGATGTTCTCCATCACTCTCTCGGACACTGTGGGCAGAACACGTGTTGGAGGCCTCTGACTCACTCTACACCTACTTATTCTCCTAAGTGAAGGTCATTCATTTTGTTGTATTTTTCACAGCTGTGAGTTCCCACAACAAGATCATTATTGAACTAAACAAGTGTGTAAACAGTGAAGTTTGTTTTTTGTATGTGTAAGGGTGAGGTGCACAACACAATTGTGGGCAAAGCAAAGAAGCACGAGAGTATGTTCACTTACCTCCCTTGTCTAGTATGACCTCCACCAGGCGGTAGTCGTCGGGCTTGTTTTCTGGAATCCCGAACTTATTTAGGGCGTGGACGATGATGTCGGTCACACAGGTGGTGGAGGTGACGGGCAGTACAGTCTGATCCATCACCACCGCCCCACCCAGCCGTGACGGATACACCCGGATACACCCCTCGTCGTTGTCCTTCTCCCTGCAACATCCAAACGCATTACTACCTACCCACTCCTACAACATCCACACCCACACAAATATGGATGGCCCAGTAGACAGAGACACACTGGCAACGCGGACACAGAAACTTCTCGAAAACTATATTTAATTCTACATTACTGATATAAATCAACATTAACAACAACACAATTAATTATTATTAGGTAACTAAACTGCGTTGTTGTTGTTAGTAATGATGGTGTGTAGGACACCTTATACCTGTACCACATACATACCTGTACCCACATACATACCTGTACCTGTACACACCTTTACATACACACACATACACATACCTGTACCTTTATCTATACCCATATATTATATACATATATACCTTTATAAAACATATACCTGCCCTGTACCACACCCTGTACCACCTTTACCTTACACCTGTACCACCTTTACTTTACATCGTGTACACTTAGAATATACACACATGCCTCTCAGGTGTGTGTGTGTGTACGCACCTATATCTGAGGAAGACAGCTGGCCGCTTGCCGTCCCTGCGGGTCAGTTTACCGACAGGTAACGGGTCCGTCAGTTCCGTCTCTTCCGCCGAGTAAGCGTCGGTGAGGTAGGTCTTGCTGTTCTCCTGCGGCACGTGGAAGGCGCGCATGGCTGCCGTCAGAAATTCGGAGACGCTGGCCGCACGCGACACAGTCACCAGACGAAACATGCGACGCCGCAGGGAGTTGTTGCCGTCGAACACTTTGACCACCTCTGTTGGGGCGACCAAGGAAAACTTGAATGACACACACACACACACAGACAGAAAGTAGTGCACACTGAGGGAGGGGCCGGGTATCACTGGCCACGGCTAACACCTTCCTCTGTTATGTAAAGTAAATAATTACATAAGAGTAAGCTTAGAAGAAGGTAGAGTTAACTGCGGACACAGGAGGTCCACCGCCTGCAGACTCGTGGATCTTTTTCTTTTAATCAAATGGAAAATTTTATCATAAAAACGTAACATATAATATAAAGGGCAACTCCAGAAGAGGACCAATTATCTCACAAAGGCTCACAAAGTCGTGATCTTCGCCAACACTTCCTGAATATAATTGTAAATTCTTTTGGTGGTGTGACTAGTGGAACACGCGGCTCAGATACAAGACTTTAAATATGTTTACTTACTACATAAATTTATTATTGGAATCTTCAATCATTAATAATTATAACAAATTGTAATAAATGTGTCTGTATAATAGACAGGAAGTTAAATAATGTTTACATTTTTAAAGTTAGTATGTCTACACTGTGTTACACTATATACTGTATATAGTTCCCATAATAATTTATATCGTAAAAAAAAATGCTGAACATTATATTTTACTTGGAACTATACTGAGGCGACCTGACCAGTAATATCATTACTACTATAGGCTCGGCGTGGAGAGGGTGTGATGACGTCACAAGCAGCGAATATTCAAATTAATGTCGCGTTTTTCACGGTAGATAAATTTATTTATTATTATTTATCTTTATCATATAAAATATGAATGGCAAGCTTGAAAAAGGAGTGGTGGGGTAGAGGACTGGAGTTGACCTTGGAGATAATTTTGCAGTACAATCAATAATTACTGGATAAATCCATCAATACAGCATCAAACAAACAAACAAACATACAAACAAACAAACAACCAAACAAACACAAATAATAATTTCTGAACTCTACAACAAGGAAAGCAAAACTATATATAAGAGGAAATTAAATATTTCGCATTTTCAAATTTACATTTGGGTAAATTTTGTGGCCAAGAGAACAGACAGACAGTACTCTTACGTGAGAGATGAGCTGGGCGACACAGCCATCCCTACACACAGTACAGTACACACCTGGAGCATTGACTGGTGGCTTCCCTGTCCTGCCAGGTGCACACTGCCACACAGGACAGTGAGCTAACATGTAACACAAAACTTGAGGTTATTGAAGATAGGGTATGTGCAGGTGTATGTGCAGGTGTATGTGCAGGTGTATGTGCAGGGGTATGTGTAGGAGTATGTGTATGTGCAGGTGTAGGTGTATGTGTAGGTGTATGTGCAGATGTATGTGCAGGTGTATGAGGTAGTGTGTAGGAGCATGTGTATGTGCAGGTGTAGGTGTATGTGTAGGTGTATGCAGGTGTGCATGTGCAGGTGTATGTGTGTATGTGCAGGGGCATGTGTAGGTGTGTGTGTAGGTGTGTGTGCAGGTGTATGTAGGTGTAGGTGTATGTGCAGGTGTGTGTGTAGGTGTATGTGAGGTGTGATGTGCAGGGTATGTATGTGTGTGCAGGTGTATGCAGGTGTATGTGTAGGTGTATGCAGGGGTATGTGTAGGTGTGTGCAGGTGTATGTGTATATGTAGGTGTATGTGCAGGTGTATGTGCAGGTGTATGCAAGTGTAAGTGTATGTGCGGGGTATGTGTAGGTATGTGTGCAGATGTATGTGTAGATGTATGTGAAGGTGTATGTGTGTAGGTGTATGCAGGCATGCAGGTGTGTGCAGGTGTATGTGCATGTGCAGGTGTATGTGCATATGTAGGTGTATGTCGGTGATATGCAGATGTATGGCAGGTGTATGTGCAGGTGTGTATGTGCAGGTGTGTGTAGGTATGTGCAGGTGTATGTGTGGTGTATGTGCAGGTGTATGTGTAGGCATTTGCATGTGTGTAGGTGTATTTGCAGGTGTATGTGTGTATGTGCAAGCATGTGCAGGTGCATGCAGGTGTATGCATACACAGGTATGTGCAGGTTTATGTGTAGTGTATGTGCAGGTGTATGTGTAGGTGTATGTGCAGGTGTATGTGTAGGAGCATGTGCAGGTGTATGTGTAGGTGTATATGCAGGTGTAGGTGATGTGGAAGCAGGTGTATGCAGGCACATGAGCAGGTATGTGTATAGGTAGGTGTATGCATGTAGGTGCATGCAAGTGTATGAGGTGTATGCAGGTGCATGTGCTGGTGATGTGTAGGTGTATGTGCCGGTGTATGTGATACAGGTGTATGTGCATTTGTAGGTGTACGTGCAGGTGTATGTGTATATGTAGGTGTATGTTCAGGTGTATGTGCAAGTGTATGTGTAGGTGTATGTGCAGGAGATGTAGGTGTATGTGCTGATGTATGTGTAGGTGTATGTGCAGGTGTATGTGTATACGTAGGTGTATGTGCAGGTGTATGTGTATATGTAGGTGTATGTGCAGGTTTATGGGTATATGCAGGTGTACGTGCAGGTGTGTATGTAGTGTGCTAACACCATACACTAAGTGTGTATGTAGTGTGCTAACACCATACAATAAGTGTTTGTGTAGTGTGCCAACACCATACACAGAGTGTGTGTGTGTAGTGTGCTAACACCATACACTGTGTGTGTAGTGTGCTAACTCCATACAATAAGTGTGTGTGTAGTGTGCTAACACCATACACAGAGTGTGTGTGTAGTGTGCCAACACCATACACTAAGTGTGTGTGTAGTGTGCCAACACCATACAATAAGTGTGTGTAGTGTGCCACCAACACATGAGGGTGTGCAACACCACAAGTGTGTGTGTAGTGTGCCAACACCATACACAGAGTGTGTGTGTAGTGTGCCAACACCATACACTAAGTGTGTTGTAGTGTGTGCCAACACATACACTAAGTGTGTGTGTGTGTGTGTAGTGCAACACCATACAAGTTAGTGCAACACATCCTTGTGTGTGTGTAGTGTCAACACCATACACAATGTGTGTGTTGTGTGCCAACACCATGCAAAGAGTGTGTGTGTAGTGTGCCAACACCATACACTAAGTGTGTGTGTGTGTGTGTGCCAACACCATACATTATGTAGTGTGCCAACACCATACACAAGTGTGTGTAGTGTGCCAACACTACACACTATGTGTGTGTAGTGCCAACACCATACATAAGTGTGTGTGTGTGTGTGTAGTGCCAACACCATACACTGTGTGTGTGTGGCCAACACCATACACTAGTGTGTGTGTGTAGTGTGCCAACACCATACCAAGTGTGTGTAGTGCCAACACATACACTAAGTGTGTGTAGTGACAACACCATACACAGAGTGTGTGTGAGGCCAACACCATACACTAAGTGGTGTGTGTGTGTAGGTGTGCCAACACCATACACTGAGTGTGTGTGTAGTGTGCCAACACCATACACACTAAGTGTGTGTGTAGTGTGTGCCAACACCACACACTAAGTGTGTGTGTGTAGTGTGCCAACACCATACACTAAGTGTGTGTGTAGTGCCACACCATACACTAAGTGTGTGTAGTGCCAACACCATACACTATGTGTGTGTGTAGTGTGCCAACACCATACACGAAGTGTATGTGTAGTGCCAACACCATACACTATGTGTGTGTGTGTAGTGCCAACACCACACTAAGTGTGTGTGTAGCCAACACCATACACTAAGTGTGTGTAGTGCCAACACCATACACTGGGTGTGTGTGTGTAGTGCCAACACCATACACTAAGGTGTGTAGTTAACACCATACACTATGTGTGTAGTGTCAACACCATACACTAAGTGGTGTGTGCAACACCAAGTGTGTGTGTAGTGCCAACATACACTAATGTGTGTGTGTAGTGTGCCAATACACTAAGGTGTGTGTGTAGTGTGCCAACACCATACACTAAGTGTGTGTGTGTAGTGCCAACACCATACATTATGTGTGTGTGTGTGTGTGTGTGTGCCAACACATACACTATGTGTGTGTAAGTGTGCCAACACACACACTAAGTGTGTGTGTGTAGTGTGCCAACACCATACACTAAGTGTGTGTGTGTAGTGTGCCAACACCATACACTAAGTGTGTGTAGTGACAACACCATACACAGAGTGTGTGTAGTGTGCCAACACCATACACTAAGTGTGTGTGTGTAGTGTGAACACCATACACTGAGTGTGTGTGTAGTGTGCCAACACCATACACTAAGTGTGTGTGTAGTGTACAACACCACACACTAAGTGTGTGTAGGTGTCAACACCATACACAAGTGTGTGTGTAGTGCCAACACCACACACTAAGTGTGTGTGTAGTGCCAACACCATACACTAAGTGTGTGTGTAGTGCCAACACCATACACTAAGTGTGTGTGTAGTGCCACCATACACCAAGTGTGTGTGTAGCAACACCATACACTAAGGTGTGTGTAGTGCCAACACCATACACTATGTGTGTGTGTGCCAACACCACACACTATGTGTGTGTGTAGTGCCAACACCATACACTAAGTGTGTGTGTAGTGTCAACACCATACACTAAGTGTGTGTGTAGTGCCAACACACTAAGTGTGTGTGTAAAATCAACACCATACACTAAGTGTGTGTGTAGTGCCAACACCATACACTAAGTGTGTGTGTAGTGCCAACACCATACACTAAGTGTGTGTGTAGTGCCAACACCATACACTAAGTGTGTGTGTAGTGCAACACCATACACTAAGTGTGTGTGTAGTGTCAACACTACACTAAGTGTGTGTGTAGTGCCAACACCATACACTAAGTGTGTGTGTAGTGCCAACACCATACACCAAGTGTGTGTGTGTGACAACACCATACACTTAAGTGTGTGTGTAGTGCCAACACCACACTAAGTGTGTGTGTAGGTGCCAACACCATACACTCAAGTGTGTGTGTAGTGCCAACACCATACACTAAGTGTGTGTGTAGTGCCAACACCATACACTAAGTGTGTGTGTAGTGCCAACACCATACACTAAGTGTGTAGTGTGTATTACTAAACATAGCCATAGTTGGTTAAAAAGTGAAAAAATAATAGATCAATAATGTTAACAGGTTAATGAACACCTAACTAATACAGCAGCAAGTTAACGTGCTGTTCCCAGCCATCACCTGGTTCTCTGCAGCCTCCACACCTCCTCGTTATACTACACTAAGAAAATGAACACCGTTAAGGTACAGTGAGTGGTGAGTAAAGTCCCTCATCTCACCCTCACAAAAACACTGTACCAGTCGAGGATTTTAGCACAGGTGAGGGACCCCCAACTGTCAGGAAAATTACACTGTTCTGCCTTAACCCAACAGTCGCTTCCTGAACAAAAGCCAACACTCGTAATCTGTTATTACTAGATATATTTACCTTACCTTACCTAGGTCACCAGGGTAAGGGGTTACTACTGCTATACTTGTAGTTCACAAGGGTCAGGAACACGAGACACAGGTCGGGAACACGAGACACAGGTCAGGAAAACGAGACACAGGTCGGGAACACGAGACACAGGTCAGGAACACGAGACACAGGTCGGGAACACGAGACACAGGTCAGGAACACGAGACACAGGTCGGGAACACGAGACACAGGTCAGAAACACGAGACACAGGTCAGGAACACGAGACACAGGTTGGGGAAACAGGAGACACAGGTCAGGAGCACGAGACACAGGTCAGGAACACGAGGCACAGGTCAGGAACACGAGACACAGGTCAGGAACACGAGGCACAGGTCGGGAAACACGAGACACAGTCGGGAACAGAGGACACAGGTCAGAACACGAGACACAGGTCAGAACACGAGGCACAGGTCAGGAAACACGAGACACAGGTCGGGAACAGGAGACACAGGTCAGGAACACGACACAGGTCAGGAACACGAGACACAGGTCGGGGAACAGGAGACACAGGTCAGAACACGAGACACAGGTCAGGAACACGAGACAGGTCAGGAACACGAGACACAGGTCAGGAACACGAGACACTGGTCAGACCACGAGACACAGGTCAGAGGAGACACACCATTAGAACGAGACACAGGTCAGGAATACGAGACACAGGTCAAAGGGAAGAGTAGCGCCTCACCTTCGTCTTTCTCATCCCTGTCTCTTGCTCTGTCTCGCGGGGGTTCCTCATTATCTCGCGCCTTGTAGTCTCCGCTTGTAAACTCTTCAGAGATGCTGCGAGCTGTGGACACACCAGGGTTACTTGTGGCCTTCCTCCCTCATCTCCTAGGGCTTTAAGAGGGCATTACCGGGGTCACACACACACACACACACACACACACACTGCAGAACCAACCTGTGATGCCCAGTAATGACCTCTTGAGCAACACTGTTAGTCCAACACTTGGTTATGCCTTAGATTACAGTATGTTACAAATGACGAATATAACATTGACTTTATTAATACACAGTTCTATTTAACATCCGTGAAGAGATTAATACAAATTGTGAGTTAATAAGAAGGAGAGGTGAGTAACATGAGTAAATTTGTAAATAAAGACCACAATAAAATAATATATACAGAGGAAGAAGAGGAAGGGGAGGAGGAAAGAGCGAGAAAAACTTACGTGAGAGGGTGTCCTTCCTCCTGCTCTGGACGCCTATTATTGCTTCCATGGGCACCTCTGTCCTCGGGATGCTCACTGCGGGACAAACAACAAGTCTCATATTATCATGTCTGTCTACTTCTGTGTCTACCAGTGTGTGTGTGTGTGTGTGTGTGTGTGTGTGTGTGTGTGTGTGTGTGTGTGTGTGTGTGTGTGTGTGTGTGTGTGTGAGAGAGGTGTATCTGTTCGCTGGGTCATGTTGAGTTCTGCTGGGTAAATGCTCTGTGGTTTGTTGAATATAAATCAGTATATAATCTAAATAACACACATACATAAGATGTCTAATGTAATAAATAACATTAATTCACAGAAAAGTTTTCCAACAAAAAAAGACTAAATAAATAACGCTAAACCCAGCCAGTATTTATTACCCTCAACAATACACTATTAAAAGAGTTCTCAGCCCACTATTATCACACAGAGAAAAGTGTGTCGCGTTATTTACCTTTTGTTCACACTCGTCCATGGTAACGGTGAAGTGTTGGTCATCGTTCATACTTATTATTTTTTGACGATATCTGTTGTTCTTATGATTAAAGTAGTGTTGTGTGTGTGTGTGTGTGTGTGTGTGTGTGTGTGTGTGTGTGTGTGTGTGTGTGTGAGTGTGTGTAAGTGATGTTGAAGATATTGTAACGAGAGAGGGAGATAGAGAGAGAGAGATAAAAGAGAGCTATTAAAGAGAGAGATATAAAAGAGAGAGAAACTTACCTGCAGTAGGGGGTAGCATAATTGGCTCGAGGAGGCCAAAGGTGCAGTCGGTAGGGACCTTGTCAGCACACATGGCGTGCACGGTGTACCCGCACCACTCACACCTCATCCCCGCCAGGCACTCCCCCGTCCAGCACGTCTTCTTATCCACCTGTAACACAATATTCACTTACCCTCAACCTCAACACTTGGGGTCACTAGGGGTCAAGACGTGTCATAAAGGGCCAACACGTGACACCAAGGGCCAACACGTGTCACCAAGGGCCAACACGTGTTATCAGAGGTCAACACGGGCCACCAGGGGCCAATGCGTGTCACGAGGGGCCAACACGTGTCACAAAGGACCAACACGTGTTATCGGGGTCAACACGTGTCACCAGGGGCCAACAACGTGTTATCAGGGGCCAACACGTGTTATCGGGGTCAACACGTGTCACCAAGGGCCAACAAGTGTTATCGGGGTTAACACGTGTCACCAGGGGTCAACACGTGCCATCAGGGGCCAACACGTGTCACCGACGGCCAAACACGTTATCGAGGTCACCACGTCACCAAGGGCCAACACGTGTTATCGGGGTCAACACGTGTCACCAGGGGCAACAATGTTATCAGGGGCCAACACGTTACCAGGGTCAACACGTGCCATCAGGGAACACGTGTCACCAGGGCAAACACGTGTCACCAGGGCAAACACATGTCACCAGGGGCCAACACGTGCCACACCATGAGCCAACACGTTATCAGGGGCCAACACGTGCATCGGGGCCAACACGTGTTATCAGCCGCCAACACATGTCACAGGGGCCAACACGTGTTACCAGGGCCAACACGTCACCTGGGGCCAACACGTGTCACCAGGGAGCCAACACGTGTCACCAAGGGCCAACACGTGTCACCAGGGGCCAACACGTGCCACCATGGGCCAACACGTGTCACCAAGGGCCAACACGTATCACCAAGGGCCAACACGTGTTATCGGGGTCAACACGTGTCACAAAGCGTCAACACATGTCACAAAGGGTCAACACGTGCCACCAGGGGCCAACACGTGTCACCAGGGGTCAACATGTGTCACCAGGAGCTAACACGTGTCATCTAGGATCAATAAGTGTTACAGGGGACAAATGTACAGTATTATTAGTGTCAATATATGTTAACATACACCTGCAGTATTCATCACACACCTGCAATACTCATCACACCTGAAATACTCACCACATCTACAATAACCAATAAACACCTGTATTAATCACACTCACATCTAGTATTCACACACCTACAACATTCACCACACCTGCAACATTCACCACAGCTGCAATACTCACCACACCTGCAATACTCACTACACCTGCAACACTCACCACACCTGCAATACTCATCACACCTGCAATTCTCACCACACCTGCAACATTTATCACACCAGCAATACTCACCACAACTGCAACATTCACCACACCTTCAATATTTAAACGTAATATTTATGACACACCTACAGTGCTTCCTTTCTGCAATACTCATCACACGTGTAGTAGGCATACTTAAGGACACACTAACAACAGGTGTGGTACTAAGGACACACTAACAACAGGTGTGGTACTAAGGACACACTAACAACAGGTGTGGTACTAAGGACACACTAACAACAGGTGTGGTACTAAGGACACACTAACAACAGGTGTAGTACTAAGGACACACTAACAACAGGTGTAGTACTAAGGACACACTAACAACAGGTGTAGTACTAAGGACACACTAACAACAGGTGTGGTACTAAGGACACACTAACAACAGGTGTGGTACTAAGGACACACTAACAACAGGTGTGGTACTAAGGACACACTAACAACAGGTGTGGTACTAAGGACACACTAACAACAGGTGTAGTACTAAGGACACACTAACAACAGGTGTAGTACTAAGGACACACTAACAACAGGTGTAGTACTAAGGACACACTAACAACAGGTGTGGTACTAAGGACACACTAACAACAGGTGTAGTACTCACGATACATTTGGAGTTAGCAGGCAGGTTTCCCTCCCGCCAGTGATGTTGCTGTATCACCTGCGGCAGTGTCTTCTCCGGCACGAAGGTCGCACAGTCCTTACAGTTGGGCACCGTGAAGTCCTCACACTCCACGTGCACATCGTATTCGCACACTGTACACAAGAAAAGACACACACACACACACACATACAATTAGTACACGTTTACATGGTTGCTGACAACATACAATAAAATAATAGCTATACTGTGTTGTTGTAAAGTGACTCGCGTACTGATAAATAAACAAGTGTTATTATACTAAACTTGGAGACTGAGACAAAGATTAGTGCGGGAATCACCACCATCACCACCACCACCACCATCACCACCACCACCACCACCACCACCATCACCACCACCACCACCACGCCTTCAACTCCCGACTCCAATTATTCCATCTCCATTACGTCACAACTTGCGATGATGACGTCACAATTCCGTCATTCTATAGTCAAAGTTAAATTACTTAATAGGTACTTATTACCAAGATCATGAGTACCGGCGAGCCTAAATCTCAAGCAATGAATTTATAGTTCTGTTTTACACACACACACACACACACACACACACACACACACACACACACACACACACCACAACATAATAAAGACAGACAAAGAGATAAACAGACACACATGTACACAGTCAGACAGACAGACAGAGACAGACACACCACAACACAATAAAGACAGACAGACAGACAGACAGACAGACAGACAGACACATCACAACACAATAAAGACAGACAGACAGACAGACAGACACATCACAACAGCACAATATTAAGACATACAGCCACTTCACATAGTCTCTCATTTATGCTCTTGCTGTCTTTGTTATTGTGGTATTTGTTATTTATCAAGTGGATGGTTAGGTAGATAGACATTAATTAACACGGGCTTAATCTACAACACCTGAGAACTGACGAGTGAGAGTCGCTGAAGAGAAGTCGGTGTTCAAGGGAGAGAAATGTCAACATGGTCAGCTGGTGGTCGGTAACACTGACACAGAACTGACGGCTTCAACTTAATGAATAGTCCTATAGAAGTGATCAGCTGTTAGGACGAGGAAGGGGTGTTAGGTGTTAATGACTTTGTTGTTATGGTGGGTAGGCGTCATGATAACAGTAATGTGTTAATGACCAAAGTATAACGGTATCGTGTACAGTAACCAGACACAAACAACCACGTACTGATATCCTTGTGTGGCTGGCACGTACAGCACAAGTACAGTAGTATGTTTATACAAGTGTAGTACTGGTAGCCAAGCACTACCATGACATACAGACGGAAGGCTGTCCAAGAAGCAAGGTAACGAGACTCAGTGATCAGAGCGTGTGAGTGTCGGTCTGAGGGCTGACAATGCTGCACTAGCCAGTCCACCTGCCTGGACTACACCAAGATACTATAAAACAAAATAATGACACTGCAAAAATAATTTTGCAGTGATTTATTTTGTGGACAACGTCAGATTTCTCTGCATACAATCTACGTCAGATTCAACGTCAGGTGAGTATAGTGTAGATGTAGTGAGTCCAAGAGCGGCATCACCAGCGTTACCGATGAGTAACTGGTGGCAGGCCGGACACCTACACAACTCACAACAATTTGATTATTGATGGCCGCTCACCCAGGAAGACGGGCGCGTCAACATCAGAGATCTTGAAGAGGAAGTAAACATTTCTCCAGGTTGTGTCTCCTATATGACCCGCGACCATCGTCACCCCAGTAAAGGTTCTGCTCGCTGGTACCCGGGAAACTGACACCTGGTGACCCACCTCAAGACAGGTAGGTGGGTGACTCCTGCCCTACTGAACCGTAGCTCTGTGACAGTAAACGAAAAATTAATTCATATTTCATTTCAGAGTTGAGGTTGTGTTGAGTGACGTGGACTCATATATGGTGACCACCTCTCAAGATGACGGCAGAGTCTACAGCAGAGAAGGTTATGACAACTACTGAGGACATGACGGCTGTGTTAGAATTGGCGGAGATATTCCGTCACAGCACTCCACTCGTTCACCACCACGGTGTACAATACTTAACAGCAGGGCACCACACACACACGACCACACCCGTTGTTATGAGGACGCCCGCCCTCACACGACGAGGCAGACACTGCAACAACTTGAACAATTTAAGTGGGAGGTGATGAATGATCCAGCGTACACCCCGGGGTCTGCAACCACCATCACTACCATCTCTTCCCTGCTCTTCAGGCTCACCATGTTGGTACACCAGATCTAGAACACTGCAGAAAGGCAGCACCCCAGTGAGCGTCATCATCACGGCCTCCTAAGGCTGGAAGACCTTCCTGTAATGTAGGTGTAGGAAGGGTAGAAGGACTAGACCCCACCATTACGGGTTGTTCTTGAGTATAGGAAAAACAGATGTACTGTACTGTATTTCTGAACACCATTACTTTATTTCTTGATCCACCCACGTATGTACAAGTACTACTGTGCTAAGAGTCCCTTGAGGGTAGCCAGATTGAGGTAGAGTGAGGTAGAGGTAGCCAGATTGAGGTAGAGTGAGGTAGAGGTAGCCAGAGTGAGCTAGGGAGAAGTAGAGGTAGTCAGAGAGGCAGAAGTAGCCAGAGTGAGGTAGAGTGAACCAGGACTAACCTTCACACTTAATGGCCCAGGTGTCGTCCAGTTTCTTGCGGCAGACATTACAATGGCGTCGGCGCAGGTGTAGTGGCTCCGACCAGCAGTGTGCTACGGGCGTCTGTGGGAGGTACACGTGTTAGTGGCGCTCACACAGGTGTTAGTGGAGCTCACATAGGTGCTAATGGCGCTCAAACAGGTGTCAGTGGCACTCACACAGGGGTAACTAGCGTCAACACAGGGGTTAATGGCGCTCACACAGGTGTTAATGGCGCTCACACAGGTGTTAAAGGCGTATATATAATAGTTCGGGGCGCTTATATGGAGAGAACAACTGTTAGTGGCGCTCATACAAGGTTGATAAGTGTTAGTGGCGCTCATACAGGAGGTACAGGAGTTAGTGATGCTTATACAGGAGATACAGGTGTTAGTGGCGCCCATACATGAGGTACAGGTGTTAGTCATGCTCGTATAGGAGGTACAGGTGTTAGTGGCGCTCATATAGGAGGTACAGGTGTTAGTGGCGCTCATACAGGAGTTAGAGGCGTTAGTGATGCTTATACAGGTTGTACAGATGTTATTGGCGTTCATTAAGGAGATACAGGTGTTAATGACGCCCATACATGAGGTACAGGTGTTAGTGATGCTCATATAGGAGGTACAGGTGTTAGTGACACTCATACAGGAGGTACAGGTGTTAGTGATGCTCATATAGGAGGTACAGGTGTTAGTGATGCTCATACAGGAGGTACAGGTGTTAGTGGCGCTCATACAGGAGGTACAGGCGTTAGTGATGCTCATACAGGAGGTACAGGTGTTAGTGATGCTCATATAGGAGGTACAGGTGTTAGTGATGCTCATATAGGAGGTACAGGTGTTAGTGACGTTCATACAGGAGGTACAGGTGTTAGTGGCGCTCATACAGGAGGTACAGGTGTTGCGACGTTCACAACAGGAGGTGCAACACGTTCACAGAGGTGTTAGTGGCTCATACAGGAGGTACAGGTGCAGATGCCTGCATAGGAGGTACAGCTAGTGACACTACACAGGAGGCAGCAGTGATGCTCATAGGAGGCAGAGGCAGCAGGTACCTTGGCAAGGTGAGGCAAGCAGGTGTTAGTGATGCCTACAGGAGGTACAGGTGTTAGTGACGTTCATACAGGAGGTACAGGTGTTAGTGGCGCTCATACAGGAGGTACAGGTGTTAGTGATGCTCATATAGGAGGTACAGGTGTTAGTGACACTCATACAGGAGGTACAGGTGTTAGTGATGCTCATATAGGAGGTACAGGTGTTAGTGGCACTCATACAGGAGGTACAGGTGTTAGTGATGCTCATATAGGAGGTACAGGTGTTAGTGACACTCATACAGGAGGTACAGGTGTTAGTGGCGCTCATATGCAGTGTGATGATGCTCATATAGGAGGTACAGGTGTTGTGGCACTCATACAGGAGGTACAGGTGTGTGTGCTCAGGAGGCACGGTGTTAGTGGCACTCATACAGGAGGTACAGGTGTTAATGATGCTCAGGAGGTACAGGTGTTAGTGATGCTCATACAGGAGGTACAGGTGTTGGGCAGGTGTAAGGCGCTCATACAGGAGGGTACAGGTGTTGTATGATGCTCATACAGGAGGTACAGGTGTTAGTGATGCTCATATAGGTGGTACAGGAGGCATACAGGTGGTAGTGATGCTGCAGGTGTTAGTGGCGCCCATACAGGAGGTACAGGTGTTAGTGATGCTCATACAGGAGGTACAGCATGCTCATATAGGAGGCCGCAGGTGTTAGTGGCGCCCATACAGTGAGTGACGCCCAGGTATGGCAGGAGGTACAGGTAGTGGCACTCCTTTGGGAGGTGGTGTTGTTGGCAGGCGTTAGTGAACTCTATAGGTGGGCGGGTGTGGCACTCATACAGGTGTGAGTGGCACTCATACAGGAGGTACAGGTGTTAGTGATGCTCATATGCAGTGGTGCAGGTGCCTAAGGAGGTGGCACTCATACAGGAGGTACAGGTGTTAGTGGCACTCTGTACAGGGGAGGTGTACAGGTGTTAGTGGCATCAGGTAGAGGAGGTACAGGCGTTAGTGAGTGCTCATATGGGTGGTACAGGTGTTATACACTCATACAGGAGGTACAGGTGTTAGTGGCTCATACAGGAGGTACAGGTGTTAGTGGCGCTCATACAGGAGGTACAGGCGTTAGTGACGCTCATGTTAGCAGGTGGTACAGGTGTTGAGTAGCGTTAGTGACTCATACAGGAGAGGTGTTAGTAGCATACAGGTGGTACAGGCGTTGTGGCACTCAGGTGGTACAGGTGTTAGTGGCACATGCAGGAGGTTGTTAGTGGGAGGAAAAGTACTCATACAGGAGGTACAGGTGTTAGTGGCGCCTCATACAGGAGGTACAGGTGTTAGTGGCGCCCATACAGGAGGTACAGGCGTTAGTGATGTTCATACAGGAGGTACAGGTGTTAGTGGCACTCATACAGGAGGTACAGGCGTTAGTGATGTTCATACAGGAGGTACAGGTGTTAGTGACGCTCATACAGGAGGTACAGGTGTTAGTGATGCTCATACAGGAGGTACAGGCGTTAGTGATGCTCATATAGGTGGTACAGGTGTTAGTGATGCTCATACAGGAGGTACAGGTGTTAGTGATGCTCATACAGGAGGTACAGGTGTTAGTGATGCTCATATAGGTGGTACAGGTGTTAGTGATGCTCATACAGGAGGTACAGGTGTTAGTGATGCTCATACAGGAGGTACAGGTGTTAGTGATGCTCATACAGGAGGTACAGGTGTTAGTGATGCTCATATAGGTGGTACAGGTGTTAGTGGCACTCATACAGGAGGTACAGGTGTTAGTGGCGCTCATACAAGAGGTACAAGTGTTAGTGATGCTCATACAGGAGGTACAGGTGTTAGTGATGCTCATACAGGAGGTACAGGTGTTAGTGATGCTCATACAGGAGGTACAGGCGTTAGTGGCGCAGCTATAGGTTAAGTTAGTCTTGTTTTGGCTACAGGACGTTACAGGTACACACAGCTGTTACAGGCAGATACAGGTGCGAATTGTTGTGATACAGGTACTTACAGGTAGATAATCGGTGATACAGGTAACTACAGGTACATACGTAGGTGATACAGGAAATTACAGTTACAGAAAGAGATTAAAGCAGTAGGTACAAGTACATAGAATGGTGATACAGGAAGATACATGTACACATAAGGGCAATACACGTAGTTACAGGTACACATAGGAGTGAGTTACAGGTACACATAGGAGTGAGTTACAGGTACATATAGGAGTAAGTTACAGGTGCATATAGAGGCAGAGATGGATACAGTACTCGCGTTCCATAAGACCTGACTTGGACTCGGAGGTAACCTGACTTGACTTGATATTTGCCTTTCTTTACTTGGGACTTGACTTGAGACTATTATACTCTGAATTACGACTCGACTGTTTACTCGATATACACTGTTAATATTATATAGTACCTGAAACAATGTAAACAATAAGCCAATTATGATAATGGAATAGGTGCACATCTAAATAGAACTTAATTTATTACAAGCAATTATTTACTTTATGGCAACTGCTACAACACTGTATCATAGCCAGACAAACACATACCACGAGGTGTGACACTATCTAGAGCTGTTTGTTCATGCTGACGCTGACTGGACATTAACCAACCTCATAAACAACCCTAGACTAGTTGACGATTCATTATACATCCTGGACGTCTACCAGTAATATTTTCACGGACTATCAGCAGTAATCAAAGTGTATATCTTGTAAATCAGTGCAAGGTAGGACAGCGGGTAGGATAACAGGGCAGGGCAAGGGGTAAGGGGACACTACTTGTATTGTTACTCTTGTACTGTGTGTTTTAACTAGTCACCGCCACCAACTGTACCCGCGTTATGGCGTGACCTGTGTATTTCTATTTACTATTTCAAAATCTATTAACCTTAAATGAGATGAACCATTCATTTAAGAAATATACAAAACTATGAGTGTGTCAAACATGATCACTGTTCCAGCACAATGTGGAGTAATATAGTTTTCCACATGAATAATGTTCAGGCAATTGTGTCGTGACAGTCAATCCGGAGAACCACAGTTATATCTAGTGTAGTTTTTAATTTAGGATTAATGTAATTACTAATCTACAGTTGGAGAGCAGTAAGCAGTATAGCAGCAGACAAGAGATGAACACCTCTTCTTGCACACACCTACGTTGTCTATCACTCTCTTGCTGGGATGAAATTAAAATGGAATAATTTTTAGATGGCGAGATGAAAGATTCAATAAGAAAGATGAAACAGTGAGACAGAAACAGATGAGAAGGTAATGAGAGGCAGTGAAGAAGGGAATGGAAGATAATTAAAGTACACAGCATCCATTTCATTTCACTTGGCCCACAGCCCCACCCAGTTCTGTCTGCCCTAGCGTCTCTCACCCTAAGCCACGTCCTTGCCCCGGCACTAACGCACGGATAAACAGTAACATTTATTTGACAACGTTTCGACAATATCTCTTGTGATCATCACACCTAAAACATGAAATAAAATATAAAGCATCAATATTAAAAAAGTTACATTTCATATTTTAGGTGTGATGATCACAAGAGATATTGTCGAAACGTTGTCAAATAAATATGTTACTGTTTATCCATACGTTAGTGCCGTTATTCTTCCTACGTATGCGCTGCCCCCTGGGGAGATAATAATTATATACAGGCGTTATCGATATTAAGCTACTAGACCTCTTTAGTAATACAGTATAAATAATTTTTGCAATTGAAATATAAAATCATTATATTTTTTAACTTGGAAGAATATTAATAAAAACTTATATATATTACACAAAGACTTCCAATTTGTTGTTAATGCCTACCTCGACCACTGATGTGTTCAACGGAAAGATACAGTAATTGTAGCCTCATATCTGCTACGGCATCAAGCTCAGTACGATATTTTGCATGGGTGAACTAGAACTAGAACTAAATTCAATTAATTATGTATATCAAAAATAAACATGAGCCAACTGGATCAATCTTTATAGCCACACTGAACTGAGAAACGCGATTAAAGTTGGATGGAAATACTTAT